CTATGAAGACAGGCTGAGAGAGTTGGCCTTGTTCAGCCTCGAGCAGAGAAGGCTCTGAGGAGACACAGAACACCTTCTAGTACCAAAAGGGGCCTACAATAAAGCTGGAGAGGGACTTTTTACAAGGTCATGTAGGGATAGGACAAGTGGGGATGGCTTTAAACTGAAAGAGGGAGGATTTACATTAGATATTAGAAAGAAATTCTTTAGTATGAGGGTGGCAAGGCACTGGCACAGGTTGCCCAGAGAAGCTGTGGCTGTCCCATCCCTGGAAGTGTTCAAGGTCAGGTTGGACGGGGCTTTGAGCAACGTGGTCTAGTGGAAGATGTCCCTGTCCATGGCTGGGGGGGGTTGGAAGTGTATGATCTTTAAGGTTCCTTCCAACCCAAACCATTCTACGGTCTATGAAAACCTTTCTTCTTCGTTCCTTCTTGTGTTGTCAGCAGAGAGGTTTTAAATGAGCTCTCTATGGTGAGTCATGCTGCTCCACACTGCACTCCACTCCCATCTATAACCCTCTTCCCATATCTTTAAAAGGGGTGAGGTAAGTGAAGTGGGAGATACCCTGCCTACGTGGAGTACCACTTCAGGAAGTGTAGGGAAGCTTCTAAGGTTGCACTCATTCCACAGGCCACTAGGTCAGTGAAAGACAGTAACTACAGTACACTCCTTACACACAGCTCAATCCCCTCAGCCAGACAAACATGAAAGGTCATTCTCATCCACCAGTGACCTTGACAAATCCTAAGCATTTGAGCCCTCAAAGTCCTGAAAATAAAAGTTTTCAGCACATCTCCTTAGGGTTCTTATTTCATGGCACAGAACATGGAATATATTCCTTAAAAGAATGAGTCCATCAGACAATATTTGCCTTCGTTACTGAGTTGCTGAGCATCAGCTCTACAATAAAAAGGGTGAAGAAGCCTGCTCCATCATTCAACAAAGACAAACTCAGAAGGCCTGAATTGCTGGAGCACGTTCCTTCCCATAAAACCATTCAACAGATATGCGAAACAAATCAAAACCCTCCAGTTTCCATATAAAACCAGAGCAGCAGAAGAGTCTCCATAGGTGGAGGATAACTTGTGGAAGCACCCAATTAGGAGAAAGGATGAGGGACCACTTTCTTGGTGCTAACTCTGGCTAAAGTGATGTTTACAATGTGCAAACCATAATTAAGAGACCAGGATTACAAAGTGGACTGCCTTCAAAAACTGGAAGTCAAAACAACTGTTGGTGGCAGTACAAGGTGTGCTTGTACTGGGCTGTAGCAAAAGCAGATGCAGTGGCAGAGGTTTGCTTTTGTGTAGTTAAGGTATTGGAAAGATTCTAAGGATTTCGAGGAACAGAAGAAAGTCTAGAAGAGAGGAAAGACTTCCTCCACACAGTGGTGGTCCAACTGTAGTTTGGCTGATACTAGCTCAAAAGGAGCTGGGGTGCGTTCCCCTGTGTCCTGCCATGCAGCCAAGGCTTAGGAGAAAGCACTGCTCCAGCAACTGCCAGGTCCAGTTGGTGGCACCTTCCTTTTCAGGATACAGAGGCTGCAGTGAACTCACCAGCTCATCACAGACACATCAGCAGCAGTTGTAGGCCCCTGAACATACCAGAGTGACAGAAATTCAGTTTTACAATGTTTAAAAGGTCTGTGGAGAAGAAACAAAGAAAACCCATCTGTACATTAAACTTCAGTCCTGTGAGAAACAACCTGTTGAGAAAGAAGAGAAAATAACAGGCAAGAAAGTTCGACATCACTTGAAAACCTCATCTACATTTACAGGGGTTGTGTTTTGAGACTGAAGTACGTCCTGGTGAATAAAATTAGTAGTAATATTGTTTATCCTTAGAATAGGAAATCGGTTTTGGAGAGCACAAGGGTTTGCAAAGGAAATGTGTTACTGTATTGCAATGCACATTGTTTAATTTGCAGGATTTTTAAGCAGCAATTTATTGTCCGTTAATGAACAACTGTTCAGTTATAAAGTGTTGGGGTTTTTTTCCCCAAACGTTAAATCATAGCCAAGTGATGGTAGATCTAAAATACCAAATCTGTATAACAAAGAGGAGACAAAAATTGCCAGAATACTTTTTTAGATGAAGTAAATAAAATGCAGAACAAATTACATAGTTCTGACCTACAACAGCTATGCCAATTCAGAATGAAGGTGAGGAAATGTTTATAAGGCACCTTTTCAAGGAGCTGCCACATTTCAGAGAAGTAACTCAAACCAGCTGCTTAGACAGGGCAGAATTCCAGAACTGTGGAGACCATCAGGTGTTCACCAGCTCCGATGCTGGGTAACAGGCTGAGGCTTGTGGAAATGGAGGACACAGATCTTAGGAAAGACCGGGGAAACAGATATTAAATGAGTAAAATACTGAAATGGGTAAGATGACAGTCAAGCAACTGTGAAAGCAAAATTGGTTTTTAGAAGAGCAGACTTGTTTGCCCCCAGTAAGATCTGGAGCAGTTCCTGCTAGTGCTGATAATTGAGCTGCTTTGTGCAGTCACTTTGTATGTGAATTTTACGAAGACAGCCAACTGTGCACAGCTCAGGTGTGGCTCTCGGCCTTGCTGCCCAAAGAGCTTCTCAGTGCTGCATTTGCCGTTTGCACCCTTGTCCCGTCTCTGTACTGAAGGAGAGCTACAGATCCTCTGTAGAGTAATTTCACTCTACAGGTTTTTTTGGTTTCTTCCTATCAGGCTGAAAATGAAATCATATGTAGTACTAGAGTCATCATGCTCTTTTCTTCAGCCATATATTGTACACACACACCTTCCAATAATAGCAGTATTTTTTTTTAATAACAAAGTCCTTTGTGAGAAGGATTTTTTTTACATACAGGTTTTTTTTTCAATCAAATGTATTTGAAGTGAAGCTCATGAAAAGAAAAAATCTCTTGAGTAATGCTCATCCTGTGTTCATGAAGGTCATTGTTTGTTCCTTCCACTGTGCCTGGGTTATAGCCTCATTTTCTTTTGTTTTTCCCTTTTGCCCCCTCGCGCTCCATTTTCCACCATGAACAGCATGTGCAACCTCCCAGTTAACTTTAGGTTAACAGCCCTCGGAGCTGTTATCCCACCAACAGCAAGTACAAGAACACTTGTGCTAAAAGGTAACGCGCTCCTCTTGACCCTGGTTGGGAAGCAGATGCTCTCCTCCTCCTAGTTATGGAGGCTGGTACCAACTTGCCCCTGTTCCAGCCTGAATGCTGAAGTAGCTGAAGTGGCATTTCTGGCCTGAAAGAAACAGCATGTTCCTCTTCTGCCTTTTCCCACTTAGAGGGCAGAGAGAGGACTTCCTGCAGCCCTTGCCTGAGCCCTTTGGGACAGGCAGCAGGGTGTTGGCAGGAGGATGCTGACGGCAGGAGCCGCTGTGATGCGCGCTGTGCTGCAGGGCAGGGACCATGATCTCACTGACTTATTTTTGCCTTCAAAGCACTCCTTTGAGTGTTCACATCAGCAGCTTCCACACATCCTGCCTATTGCGTGTTCCTGCTGTATTTACCTCTTCCCTCCTTGAAATGTCTCCTGGTCCGCTTGGTCCAAGTGTCCACCTCCTCACTCTCTTTAACAAAGAACCCCCAAATTAACACTACTGACTGTGCAAGTTTTGAAGTGCGCACTGAGCCTCATGCCACCGTGGTTCTCTTCTGCTGATCTTTATGTATCATCTTGTTTACTTGGATAATAAACTCTCCCACATGGTATGTCTGCAGCTCTGAGTAATATCCTGAAAAAGGAGAGATCCTTGGCATTCCTCCTGCAGCTTGGCCATGGCGCAACTGCCCCGGCCTCCCCACCAGGCGTGGCCATGTGTGCTGTAAAGACTTGTACAAACGGAGAGCTGGCTGTGTGAGGAAAGCCATACACAGCATGAGGTGAACCGTTTGGGTGTAGGGAGAATGGAGATGGGGTTCAAAAGTGATGCTACTTCAGTATACAGTTTGTTTCCAGTTGTTACAAAGGCCAAAGCATGCAGAGCTTAGTGGCAGAGAAACAGTGATATGGCAAAACTGAGACCCAAAGGTATGCAGAGCACTCTGTGAGCAAGAGGCATCACTTCATGGAAAACATAACAGCAAGATGTTCATGCAGACAGAAAGGAGAGAGCCAGGTAAGTGCTAGAAGATAGCAAGAACAGCACTACAGTATACAGGACTGGATGGGGGGGGGGGGGGGAAATAAGACAGAAAGAAAACTTGTATTTGCAGAGGAAATACGCAGAAACTGTGTAATGTGGGACAGAACTAGAGGAAAAACCCGGGTGGGAGAGGGTGAGCAGCTGCTCCAGAGTGAGCTCTGGAGTGCCTGCAGGCTTAGCCTGTGACCTTGGTGGCTCTTGTTCAGAGCCCAGCTGTAATTCTTGGTGCCCAGTATCGTGGGACACTGTCACAGGCTGGGGCAGAGCCGCAGTTCCCACCTGATACCTAAAAGCGTTTATTTATTTTCAAGCTTCCCATGTATTGCTCTTTGCAGGTTTAGGGCCCAAGCACTGTGAGATAAAAAGCTCACCTGCGAGTGCTTCACCGTTGTAAAGCATTTGAGTGGCGGTGCTGCTGACTAGCAGTTGTAGCGGTAGCAGTGCCTTAAAACGGCTCTTTCTGGAGCCCTTCCTTTGCCAAACCACCACCACCACCACCACGGGAATACGGGAGGCTGAGGAACGCGGCTGCTTCAGCCTGCAGCGGCGCGGTGCTGCGGCAGGAGGACGTGGGCCGACACGGCATGGCCCGGCAGCGGCGGTCCGAGCGCCGCAGCGCCACCTAGTGCCGCCCTCACCGCCCGGCCCTGCAGCCCGCCCCGCTCAGGGCCAGGCGCAGCGGTGAGATCTTCCCGAGCGGCTCTGTAATAAACAGAATGTATTCGTTAAGCATCATGCACCCGCTTGGCGAGGCCGCAATGGCTGAAGTGGAAGTAGCAAAGCAGGTCTGCGAGTTCTGCACCATGAGGGGGGTGTAACATGTCATGTCATACAGGCAGTTTATTTTTATTTTTATTTTTATTTTTTATTTAAAGAAAAAATATAATCTATCTAAAATGTCTGTATCACTAGAATAGTGCACAAACACAGCGTCGGACAGTACTTCGCCTAACTCTGGGGCTGTCCTCGTTTTTCTAACAGCTCTATCATGATGTGACATCAAAGTAGTAGCAAAACCACCCCAACAATCCAAATATAAAACCTTTTGTACAAATATATTTTTCTTTATAGTACATAATCACTCTTAAAATACATCATTTCCTTAGTAAATGTTTGCAACAATATTGAAATAAATAAAATATCCTAGAGAAAGTTCAGTTTCATCATAAAACTGCAAACCAGAAGAGTATAAAAATTAATTTCATTATTAAAGTCTACTTCTGAGAGGTTTCCCCTGTTTTGTTTTTTTTGTAGGCCAGAGTAAAAGGCATGTCAAGGTGCCACACATAAGCAAACTGTCACAGTTCCGCTGCCAGGAGCCCTATCTGTCACTGGCTGCTTGTGTCAGCCTGCACGCATCCCACTGCGCAGGGTTGGGCTGGCAGTCTCCTAGGTTCTAAGAGAAAACACCAGTTCTCCCTTACCCATGGAGAGGTGACAGATGTTGACTGACTTGCAAGTCAGTGTCTTCTCTTCCCTCATTCTCACCTATGCCCATGGAGCAGTGCGCTGTTATGAAAGGGCATTTGGCCTCTTGGGCTAAGTTGGAATCGCAGTTGCTGCATGGAAAACAAAGAGGAGGAAGTTTTCTGTGTGCCTCATTGATATTGTCCTGTAATTTGTTTGAAGGAAATGAATCCAAAGAAGCTTTTTACATTCTGATTTTTCTATTTTCCACTCAGGTTTGATTATTTTTCTCACATTCTGCCTGCTGTCACCCCAGCAAGAACATTTCTAAAAGTTGACTGAAATGATTACGTCAGGCCAGTTAGGTTAATTCTGCTTGCCATGTCTTTTGTACCGAATTAGAGCAGCTCTTCAAAGGAAGTCTGGTTTTACCATTACAAGTGGCAAAACTTCAAAGACTGTACTAACTTGCACACAATTAACCATGGAAGGGAAGCAATTCCCCAATGCACATGTAGTCACTGCAGTGAACACCTCATGCAAGGTTTGATTTGTGCCCAGCTCTGCAGGGTCAGAAGCGCCGGTGCTGTCCTCGTGGGGCACTGCTGGCGATTTGCTCCACTAAGAAGGTGCCCACACTGCACCTCACAGCCTTGTCTCCTGCACTTCTTCCTCCGTCTCCTCCTGCAAGGCAGTGATTTTGGGTCGAGGTTTGCGCTTGCTGGAGTTTCTGTGGTGTACTGGGAGTAGCTTCAGGCGATCAGCGTGGCTGATGGCTTGCCTGAAGGAGCTCTTTTCGTTCAGCAGCTTCTGAATGGATTCATACTGACGCAATTTATTGTCCTCTATTACCTAGAGAAACATACCACTCTCTTAGATGGGCAATGGTGGTGCTGTGAGAATTCAGCTAACACGACTAACACAGCAGGGAAGAGACATGAAGGCATAACAGAAAACTTACTCTAACAGGAAAAGCCAGGTTTACAATGGCTATTTCTAACTTCTAGCTTGCAATTTCAAACTGCAACCATAAAAACAGACATTACAATTTTAACGTAGATAAGCTGCCTGTTGTTCAAGTTACAAAGTGCCACTGGGCTTGCTGGTTTCTCCTTGCGACTTGCTTTTTACCTCTGAGATGGTTTGTTGGTACTGTGGCACAGCTAAAGTGCCCCGTTAAGAAAGTGTTAACTGCAGAAAATAAAGTTGTATCACAAACAGGGGAAGGCTGCCAGCACAGTGCCAGGCCTTCTTTGCTTTCCTCTTGCCAAACAAGGAAGTGCTGCTCACCCCTGTTTGAAGGAGACAACAGGTTTGCCCTGTCAGGCTGTGCCAGCCTCCTGTCAGGCAGGAGACAGGTTAAAATGAGGCTCCTGCGCTGGCACTGTGGTGGCAGCGCGTCTCAGGTCTGACTGGAAAGAGCTGTTAGCAGCTCTGTTGCTAAAATGTTGTTTGGAGGGTGGCACCCCTGCTCCGGGCAGAGGCTGCCTGCTGCCTGCTGCCTGCCTGCGCGGGCCGACACAGCCTGAGCTGTGGGCTGGAGGCAATAAGAATAAGGTCCCCTCTTATGGAAGGGTCAAGAAAATACAGAGGAAGGAACCACAATTTTAAGAACAATTACATAACTTGCCTTTTATTTCCTTTACTAATGATTTTTATATAACAAAGGAAATACCCCAGGACTTCAGTACTTTGTCACCTTAATTAAACAAGAAACGAATATTCAAGCGGCTTGACGAAAGAAATCAGTAATTCTGGTCACTAGATGTTTTCTTAGGAAACCCTTCTTCCCCATGCAGCCTCTTACTGCAAGTGCAGCCGTCTCTGCATTTGCAATGATAAAGCTCTGTGAGATGCTGGTATTTTTCTGGAGTTCCTGAGCCAATTGACAACATAAGGCACCTGGATCAGCAGTTGAATAGCCCACACAGCTTTCCTCCTGGATGAAAGAAGGAATCCAGCTCTTCCATAAAGCTCATCTGAACACAGGTGCCACAGCTCAGGTGAAAGAGCAAACAGGAGCATGCTGCTCTTCTGGTGACTAGGTTGCTCTGAATGACCCCCACCAACCCAGCCAATTTCATCATTTCTGCTTGGTGCATTGTTGCACATTCATCAGATGTAATTAAAGGAGAGTATGTGAGACTATGAGAAACACTCACCAAGAATCGCTGGCACTCCAGCATCGCCTCCAGCCTGTGTTCAGACAGTATCACCGTGCAGTTGGCAAATGCATGCTTCAGGGTCTTCCGGATCACTTGGGAAGTTCTGAAAGGCAAATAAGTGTTGGCGTTCAGTCTGCAGTGAACATGCTGGTGCTGCCAGTAACTTTACTGATGATATTTAAGTCTGGCTGCGTGCTGGAAGGCTCAGGCGCATGGACACCAACACCCTGCATCATCATCTCAGCTTGCTGCATTTGTGCTGTGAAAGTACATATCGGCCATAAAGCTAAGGTTGTAACTAGGCTTTCCTGACCCCCCAGGCAGAACTGCTGACATATCACTGAAATCAGGCTTAGTAACAGGCCAGACAAATTACAGAGGGGCTTTTTAGATGGTGCTGCCTCACTAATTTTCCTATTTCATATTAGAAGATAGAACAAATTAATGAAACATACACAGGGTCCAGGTGAGCACTTGGTTCATCGAGCAGCAAGATCTTAGCTTTGCTGAGAACTGACCGGGCAAGGCACATCAGCTGCCTATGGCCGTGACTGAGGACACAGCCGCCATCCACAAGAACGAAATCAAGCTGGCCTGGAAATTGCTCAATTACAGACTTCAGCCCAACCTGACGGAAAGAAAAAGGACAGGAGAAATCAGTGAGATACAGCTAATGCTGACTGTGGGTACAGCAACCAGAGCCTTTAATTTCCTTGCTTTTCATTTCTGACAGCAAAAACATAAATTGATGAAAAGGAGAATCTGTTCTATAAAGACTACAAGCTAAGTAGCTGAATGATGTGAAAAGCACTGAAATATTTGAATCCTATGACATGCTAGGATTTATGTTTGGAAGCTGAATTAATGCTTTATTTGTTTGTCACGTACGATGAGTTCTGGCATTTTGATCAAAACATTCTGAGTTAGCAAGCTATAGAAAGCAATATATTTGTAACTTCTTATTCAGTGGTGATGTACATCATTGCAAATACTGAGGAAAGTGATTTTTGAAAGGAAACCAACCCTCTTTGGCTATTAGGAGGGTAAAAAGAAATGACCAAAATTCATATGCGACATTATAGCAACAGAAAAGGCAACCCAGGTCACTGTGGCCATTGTCTCTATAGCTCTGAGAGCATTTCCATCTGTTTCTTTTTCTGCCCTAAGGGTCTTGTGAGCTTTGTTCATACTAATGGCCTCAGGGTCTTCCCTCTGCACTGGTGATACAATGCTTAGAGGAGTGCCCATGCCAAATGAAGCTGCTTCCCTTGGGTCAGAAACTGGAATCCAGCCCAGGAGATGTTTTCTGACTGTTTCTTCCAGTACTCCTTTTTTGCTCTCACGGGGAGAAGCATTTTGTACACCTTAAAGCAAAGCTTTGCATCTTCCACAGGTCCAACCTGATGGTGCTTGCTGGCTTAATCAGCAGCGTTTACAGAAAAAAATGTTTGTAAAATAAAAGAACTAGGAAACACATGAGTTACATGGCTCCAAAAAACGTTAATGAAGAGCCCTCACTGGATTTTTTAAGTGTTACCAATCTGCAATTTGTTTGCATTGGGGGGGGGGTTGAAGGAGGGGAAAAATTACTGGAATTCCTCCTTTGTGTTTCTGTTTTACATGGAACCATGCTAAACTGTGGTGTCTGGGTATGCACATTGTGTTCCTGTAGTGTTCATGATTTTATTTGTAAGTAAATTAAGGCCAGAGCTTTGTTTCTTGCTCCTCCTCTGAACACACATTGTGTCCTTCAATAAAGTTTTGCATCTAAGGGCTGGAAAAACTGCACAAGGTTTCTCCGGGTACCTGTAGGTCCAAGCAGCAAGAGTAAAACTCAGCCCCAGAAGCTGACACAAGTTTGACAGACTCAGGTGCTGAAATATGGGGGCAATAAAAAGTGAAACACCTGATGTGTTCAGCAAAAGCCTTGCTCTCTGCAGCTGGTTGCGAGGAGCATAAAAAGCTGGTGGTGATCTCATGATGATCTTCTAAACGCTCAGCAGCAATTGTGGGTCAGGGCTATGCTGACAGTTAACCTTCTTGCTGCACCATGGTCCCAGAGTTAACTGCCTCACTGTCACTAACAAGCAAGCTCTCAAGAGCATGAACTTTGTAAACAATCCAATCACTCCTACTAAAAAGCATTACAGCTTTTTTTCTTCTCTGTTTGCTTTGCACTCTTGCCTGTGCAGTGAAAACCTCTATCACATATGGATTTGCCAAACTCCTTAATGATAAACACTTCAAAATACTTTTTTTTCTTTCACGCTGTTGTAAATGAGGTTTGGCTCTTTTAAAACCCCAGGCTCAATTCACATGCACAGTCAAAACAGTCCTTAAAAGCAGAAGGAGAGCTTGTCTTTCTCAAGAAAAAGGGTACTAATCCACACTCTATTTTCCCCCCAGCCTCAGAGAAGTGGAGCAGCACAGCACCGAGTACCCAACTGCCTCTTCTAGGACCAGCTGAAAAGCTTCTGTCACATCATTTAACCAAAAACTTCATGATGTTTTTATTCAACAGTAAATTACTCATCGGAAGTGTCTACTTTCCTCTTTTCCAAACATGGGAGAGAAATAAACCCAAGACAGCAAGCAGAGATAGGGTTAAACTGGATGGGAAAGGAGGAAGATTTCAGATTAAGTGCCACAGTTGTATGCATTTTCTGACCCTTGAAACTTAAAATCAACAATGAAAATGGCACCAGATCATTTCTGAGTCTATATTAATTAGGACATCCGTACCTTGGGAAAAGGCATGTGTTCTCTAGGCTACAGCCCTTTCCCTCCCCTAACTCTCATCTGCCTTTTCTCTGGGCCTTATGTTACCTGTGCCACCTACCAAGCACTACCAGAGCCAATAGGTGGCATCTGACAACCGTAATGCGTGGGCTTCAGCTCATTGTGGAACAGAATTGTAAACATTAGGCCCCTAAACTTGGGGAATTTTAAACCAAAATATCTCAACATGAAATTGGAAGAAAACCTTTAGGTTCATAAAATCTAATATCCCATGATTCTTACTTTCCATGACAGAGCAGCTGCCCATGACAAAGCAGTGCGTAAACCTGATTGCGGTGTCAGGAAGTGCTCTTTCTCAGCTGACTTTATGCTGGCCTGAGAATTGCAATAACTGGAAAATATCTTGAGGAAAGATTTTTCTAAGCTGAATATAAATATTCCCTATTGCAATAACACCAGTGTTATTTCTAGGGCAGACCACAGACATTTCACTTTTCTTGGCCTCCAAAATGTTTACTAGTCATCTTTACACATTTTGATAGAAAAATGCCTTGCAGAGATCTCATGTATTTGGCAAAGCATTAAAATGAGAAAATGTTACAGGACTTTCTGCTGTATCAGCTTCCTCCACTGCTTTTTCTCTCAGGGTCACCCAGCAGAGCCAAACATAAAACATCCCCTATGCTAAATCACTGCAGGAGCTACCCAGACTGTTCTGTGTGGAAGTCCATCTTGGCGTTTTTTTCCTTAATCTCTGACAAAGGCACCTTTTTATTAGGAAATAAGGAAATCTGGTTTATAAAAGACACCTTTCCTCAGCACTTTATTTCCTAAGACTCTATAAATGTAACATACGACGATCACTTGACCTACACTGCATTCTGCCGTAACTACTTCACCAGAGTGATACAAGTAACTTTGAACAGTTTTACCTCCTCTGCAACTTTCCATATTTCTTCATCACTCCAATGCCCATAAGGATCCAAATTCATCCGAAAAGTTCCAGAAAATATGAACACTTTCTGCAAGAAAAAAGGATATACAAACACAGGTAGGCAGATACCCTGAACATTGTATAAAACATTGTAAATTGTAAAGCATACAGTCGAAAGAATAACCTTCTGCAATCACCAGATGGAGCTTCTTGCAGATTACTAAGATTTTTCAAAACATTGTTCCAAAAAAGGTTACTTTAAAAATCCTTACATTCATTTTTTTGGCAGTTGTCTTAATCAAGACTTAGCCAAACTTGTTTGAAAAACATCAAAAATCAAATTTCAGCAGTTTTCAGAATCAAAGTTTTCCGATATTTCTACTTTGGAATAAGCCTTTTAAAAACTATTTTTTATTTTTTAATTATGTGGAACATAATTAAAATATATTAAAAAAAAAATAAAAATCCCTAAACCAAATTACATGTTTTCACAATTGTGTTTTGAGAGAGAAAATTTGTTAGGTATTTGTCAGTATTCAGGGACACTGTCCTAAATTGGTTTTCATCAATTAATTTCTCTTTTTGCTAATTGATTATAGCCAAATATGTATCAGCATAATTCTGTTACCTGACATTTCATCATGTCCCAGTCCTAGCTCAAAAGAGCTTTTTTGTTTCCTCACTTCCTCACTGTCACATCACTGAGAAATGACTCAGCAAGACCTGATTCATGACTGTAGCAGCCACAACCTGCTCTCATATGTGGCTCTCCTAATCAGTGCTGCAGACCCTGCTCTCTTCACGCTCTGTCCCATCCCTTCCTTCCATTACACAAAATGAAGAGGATGCACATTTCCTGGCACTGAGATGCATCCTTCTCACGCTGAAGTTTACTACTCAGTTCTGCTTTTAGGCACGCAGATTTGAGCGAACATCCCTCAGAAACACCTTTTGTATCTCAAAAAGCTGTGACTCAGACAAAACTAAATATTTGTTTAATCTCTTTTTACATGGGGTGGGTGTGTCAGGTTCTGGTGGAAATGAGGTTCTTCAAGGGACACTGGGGTTGCACAACGTTTCATAGAACACAACCAAACTGTTGTGTTCTATGCTGCAAGATACACCTGCTGTTTGTAGCAGGGAGAACTTTCTGTCAAAGAATGTAAGTGCCTTGTTGAGAAATACAACCGCTTGCTCTTTCCTTGTACGTAGAGAGCAAATACCAAAAGAAAAGATTTGAGACAATTACTTTCTTCTGTCTTCCTAAAGAAAATATGTATTTGAAGAAAACGTGCTGAAATGCCAGCAACTCACAGCCGCAGAATTTCTTGGAGTCTTGGTAGTCAAAGACTACACAAAGCAGTAAAGGAGTAGCTGTACCAGAAAAATATTCTTAGCAAGTGCTTGTCCATAGTTTGGCCAGTCTACCACAATTTTCATCTGATCTAACCTGGGAACACTGCATTCTTTCATCAGATTTCAAAGTGATTTACACACACATTTACATTAATCCTTTAAATAGATTAATGAAAAGTCTAAACGTGGCAGTGGCAAATAAATTACATTAATTAATTTGCTTAATAAAGACACGTAGGCCATTGCCAATAACTTATCTGGTGCAAGAGAGAAGGAAGTACCTGATTCAAGAGACCAGAATCAAGAGACCAGAAGAAAAGCAGCTGCACCGTGGTACCCTGTGGTCAGTGGAATGGATTTAAGTGTGATGGTACTTTTGCTGCCCTGCCAGCAACACCCCAGTGGAGCTGCAGCAGAGGCAGCAGCACACATAGCTAAAAATCACTGAAGTAGTACTTTTGGCAGAGATCAATGGGTAAGAGTAGACCCTTTTCTTTGTGATCATTATTGTCAATAACAATGAATGCTCTGGTGAAGTACAGCGAAGTCCTTTTCCCATGCCCCACACTGGTTAGGTGGCGTGAACAGGGCAACATATTTGCAGCAGGATTAGATTCTTCCAAGCAGTGGGTGTGGTGGAATAATAATGCTGCGGAAACAGCATCAGACGTGGGTTTCTTCACACTTGGAGCACCATACATCTAACTAATGGAATCGGTATTTTCATTTCTCAGTGGTAAAGAATAGTTAACTGAACAAACCAGTTTTAAAGAAGATAGGGCTGAATAACATTCCTGCTGAAGTGCAGCAGGCAGAGAAATAAAGGAAACTAGTTTCTTCAGAAACTGCTGTTATTCCTAATAACCATGCTTTCAAGAAGCAGGCCACTAAAAGCAAGCTATTCTCAAATGTACTTTTTTTTCCCCACAAGGTAAACATTTCATTGTCCTGAATTCTGGTACTTCTCTCTCCATTTCAACACCACCTTCTTCCCAGCTCATTAGAAACCATACAGGGTTCACTTGAGTAAATACCATGTTAGTCACATGGCCAGTTTAGAGTCCACTTAAAGATAATCAGGGAAAAAAAAACCCAACAAAATTCTTAAAAAGCTTGAACTGTAAAGTAAAAAAGCCAAACCCAAAAGTGAATGCCATGGACTTCTGTGTTGTTTATAAATATGGCAGAAGTAGAAATAAGGAAAGCATTGGAAGGGGGACCGGATGGCTGGGGAGGCTGGCAGCAAATCTGGAACCGTTTTTTCTTCTTGGTCACTTGTTTAGATTCACCCAGGATGTTAATGGGTGTGATCATGCAACAAATAGTTTCTCAGACATGACATCCACCCACAAGCAAAACACTCGGGAATATAGATACGGTAATGCTTATGTTCTGACCACCGCAAATACTGTAAAACAACCCCTCTGAAGGGCAGCTAGAGCTTCTGCATACTGATTATGACTATGGTGTGGGATACACTGAGCTTGTGGCAATAGGCTTCCTAAGTGATTTAAGTGTTAGGTGAAGAACTAAGACCCTGGAGTCCCTAAGAAAACCCATACAGAAGAGTAAAAGATCAGTTGACAAGAAACTGCCAATGAGAGGGATTATCCTGGTTTTGAGTAGCTGCTGTTGCAATGGAAACACAACCCATGTGCAGGTCCTCTGTGAGACCCATGGACCCTTGTCCCTATACACTCCAGGGCTGGAGAACAAATGTGACATCAGCTAGAACCAGACACCAGATCCACACACAGAGAAGTTAGAGTAACAACAATATGACCTCCATGTAGCCTCCTCTGCTTCATAACATTATGGCAAGAACATCAACATGAGAGACAATCAAATTGCTATGTGAATGCTTTAGTATTAAGAGCAAAGTTAAAGGGTTTGTTTTCATAAGTGTTCCTGTGGGGACTTTACATTGACATTAAAATGTTTCCAGACAAGAATAAGAACATGGGAGCAGTGAAGTCCTTCTGCAGGTTTTTTGGGACCAGCTCTGTAAGCTTCTCCCCTGAAGATGCTAAAACCTCTGCCTCCCATAGAGTTTACTGGTAAACCCAAGTGCTGTGCTCCTGGCAACACTGCATCCACAATGCAGAAAACAACCTATCTATCTACTAAATGAGCACGTGGGGTTGTTAATGAATGTCCCCAGCTGCTCTGTGCATGGGTCTGGTGCAGCAGATGCTCCCTGGTATCTGGGCTCCCCTGCCCTGAAGGAGCCCAGCCTCTGTGGGACCCCTCTGGAGAGCAGCACTGCCCTATGCAGGAGTGCTCCGGCATGCTACAGAACAGCCACGCCTCATGCAACCTACGAAGTGAACAGCCCTGAAGGGTATGAGAAGTGATGAGACAGGCAGAGAGATAGGCAGCTACAATGAAGAAAATGAGATAACCACTGAAAAATTGGAACTACAAAGATAAAAGTTGTGAAATTCCACTTTTCAAGTAAAATAAAGGAGCAAAACTGATTTGATTATTTTTACTTGATAGCTGGCAGTCCCACAAATTGTAGCAACCTCATTCTCCATGCTAAGCTTGATGTTAATTCTGTATGGAGTATTTACTCACAAAAACAGCATGAGATCCACTAGGATACAGTGGAATAACACTCAAGAAGACTTCAGAAGTAATTTCTTTCCTCTGAGCTAGCAGCACCTTATGGATCTTAGGATTCTTCTCATTGATTTTAATGGAACATTTGCTGCAGGTCTCCTCCATTTGAAGCCAAATTTCTGAAGGTATTTTCTCAACTTGACTCAATTAAATACTTCAGGATGCAATCTTCATGAGGCCCTGTACGCTAAAGAGCTTCAGTGTTGAAACCAGATGCAGCTGGATGTTCTCACTCCGGAAAACTCTTGCAGAAGAAACATCAGAAAGGTCTGCCCAAAAAGAAGGGATGATGGGCTGCAATTCTACTTCAAACAGCCTGTTATCGCTGCAGTAATTGCTTTGCATGAGAATGACAAACATCCTGTAGGAGCTCCTGTAGGAGTCCTGTAGGACTGTGGTCCAGCTGTGCTTCAGCAGTGCAGACGTGTGAGCAACAGGAAGGACCTTCCTTGTCGGGTGCTCCAGGAAACATGTTTTATATGATTCACCCCTTCATGCCACTGTAATGCTGGATTTCAGATACTGAAAGACAGGAGGTTTGCCTTTGCTCTAGCTCAGCTGATCCCTGACCGCGCTGCAGGCTGACGCTGTGTGGGCTGTGCAGGCATCAGTGAGGTCCTGGCAGAAGAAAATAACTTCTTTTCTTCTACACTGGGAAATTTAGGGATAAAGAAAGAGAAGGAGAGGTTTGGAAAGTTTTCACGAGGAAAGTAGAGCTCCGTTCTCCTTTTGTTAGCAAAGCCTCTCCTAGAGACAGTGAATATCCAGGTGTTGATGTAGGCCAGCCTCCCAGGAAAGGAGAGGTAACTATTTTTTCTCTTCCATTCTGAAGCCGTAGGCTAAGGTCAAAGAACAAAAGGCTCCCTTTGTTCTGCTGGGGAAAGCAGGGTGGCATATGCAATTTCTCTTCCCTGCTGGGAGAGTGCTGGTGAAAACTTCATTTCATTCTGAATGTGGGAACTTTTGAGGTATAATGTACATTTTCTTGGCAAGGCTTTGGGACAGGAGCTGCGAGCTGAAGCAAGCAAACAGGCTGGCAACTCTCATGACCTTCCAGAGAATGGAGGGCCAGGACTTTTTTGGTGTTGATGCATTATCAGGGACTTCCAAAGTGAACTAAATGTGCAATTTTAACAATGAACTGACAATGTGCCTCATTACTAGAAGGGCAAGTTACACTGCTCATGCAATAAATGTCTCTCACATTTTGCTGATGGCTGCAGAATGATGTTTTCTATACCACTAGTGACCTATAGTGAGTACTCAGCTATGAGAATTATTAATCATATTTTTTCACTGGGACAAGAAGGCTACTTGTTACTAAGCATTCAGTTTTCTTCTCATTCCATGTGTTCCCAAGGACAGCTTGACATGGAAAGCAGAAACACTGCTGGGCAACCACAGCCCAAAGGAAGAAATGGCTGAGAGCAGAAGGATGACTATGGGAAAGATAAGGAAGCCCCTTCCAACACAGGAAGTTATACTTGGCTGTATAGGAAAATTTCACAATGGAGACACAGTTTATACTATGAAAGCATCCTTCATCTTATACATCCATCCTTTGGAGCTGACGTGGTTTAAGCCCAGCCGGCAACCCAGAACCATGCAGCCACTCACTCACTCCCCACCCACTCCTCCTCCAGCTCAAGGAGGAATGGGGAGGAGAATCGAAAGAATGTAACTCCCACGGGTTGAGATAAGAACAGTCCAGTAACTAAGGTATAACACAAACCACTACTGCTGCCACAATAATAATAATGATAAGGGAAATAACAAGGGAAGAGAATACAACCACAGAATACAACCACTCACCACCCACCAACCGACACCCAGACCGACCTGAGCAGTGACCTAACCCTTCCGGGTAACTGCCCCCAGTTTATATAGTGGGCATGACGTGCTGTGGTATGGAATATATCTTTGGCTAGTTTGGGTCAGGTGTCCTGTCTCTGCTTCCTCCTGGCTTCCCCTCCTCCCTGGCAGAGCATGAGACTCACAAAGTCCTTGGTCAGAGTAAACATTACTGAGCAACAACTAAACACATCAGTGTTATCAGTGCTGTTCCCAGGCTAAAGTCAAAATCACAGCACTGCACCAGTGACTAAGAAGGGGAAAAATGACTGCTACTGCTGAACCCAGGACAGGAGGACAGCTGTATACCATACTTGTCCTCCAAACTCATCTGATGTAGCTGCACTTGCAGTTCACTGCACAGCTGCCTCAATCTGAAGGGGTGACTTTTTTTCATACTTGCAAACCACAATCATGCTGCAGAACTGAGCCAGCAATAATAAAGAAAAAGAAATTTAATGGATAGATAGACATGAAAATGTTGAAGAGAAGACAGAAAGAATGACAACAGGTCAGCTATCAAAGGGCAGCTTGCCAAGCAAGCCTCAGCAAAGCAGGCAGCATATGACCAACCAGGCTGTCAGTGGAGTCCAGACAAGAAACTAAACCAACCAGGGCACTTACTACTGCTCCCTTGGTTCTGTTTTTTTGAGTTTGTAACTTGGCAGTGAAGAAAGGGTCTGTTCTGGCAAGGTCAAAGTACTGAAAATTTGCTGTCTTTAAGGAAATTTCAGAGCATCTTTGTAGAAATGCTGAGAGAGGAAAGAGCTGTGTCTTCTTTGAATGCCCTACACTAAATAAATGCCACTCAGGCTGCTGTGGGAAAACAGTTTTGAAAGGGAGGTTATCACAACTCAAAGCTGATCATGAAGTAGAAAGAATAATTTTTGAGTTCCTCTTGTGCTTGCAAACATAGTGTTTCCAGCATGAGCATTTCAGCGTCTTTTAACAGATACCAAAGCCAAAACAGTGCCATAAGGAACACCTTGGTTAGAGTTAAATCCCGCCTCCATGACACTGAAATAGATCAGAAGTGACTTTACTACAATTAGGCTGGTTTGCTGCATTATGGTAGAAAGCAGATTTTAGCCTACATACCCAAGGAAGGGTGAAAGTGATGACACACCTCTGCTCTGCTATGATGGCTGCAGAAAAAAACACTGTTTTGAAAATGCAAACCTGACAGCATATTTTTTAGTTCAATCAGCTGGCTGTCCAAGAGTCTTTCCAACTATTTTAAAGCAACTCAAGCTGTCAGTGCACACAGCTTTGCACCACACTTCAGCTTACCAGCTTGCTCAGACAGTAACTGCCTTTTAAGACAATAGACGGGGAAGTCCTAGGTTTAGTTCTTTTCTCCCCCTTAGACTATTTCTCTTGTTCCAGTTATTTAAAAAAAACAGGGTGCCTAAACCCATGTGAGGAGCTGTTTTCTCTTTCATCTCTGAAATGGCATTACTTTGCCAGCACTGCTGCAAGCATAAATAACATGAAGTGCTCCTTTATGCATGCATTATGACATAGTCATGAGAGGTGACAGCTAAAAAAAGTGATGATTCCATGCTGAGAATCAGCTAGTGGTCTAGTAGAATATGAGAAAAGCAATAATTATGGTACTAACCTGTCATGGAAAACAGGCAATGTATAGAATTCACACGTTAACCACAATATGTGATGTAGTGCTTTAGAAAACAGTAGCTGAGAACACCACTGACGGTATTTTTTACTTCAGGTGGCACTATCTTATTTTGAATCAACATGCAAACTGTTTCAGAGGTGCAGAGAAAAGCATTATGAACAGAGAAAAGGTTATGAACACTTCTGTTTGAGTGTGCTGTACCTTCTGATTTCTAGAATTCTTGTGTGAGTGGCACAGAAACCCTCAGAAAGTAGTTTGTTGTGAATCATTGCATCTATCAGTCCGGCCATCCATCCATCCCTCCATCGGTCCATCCCTCCACCCATCCATCCATCTCCCCTTTTAACAAAATTTTTGTGTCTTGTTTCTGTTCATTAGCACAAAACAATTAACTTCCAGCTTGAAGCATATGTAGAACCGAAGAAAATAAAGACACACAAATACACAGTAATCTCATTACCTGAGGAATCACTCCAAATGCCTTTCTCCATTGTTGCACGCCGACCGTGTTCCAGGAGACTCCATCAATCTGGATATCCCCTTCTGTATTCAGCAGTCTTAAAAATGCAAAAAGTAAAGTGCTTTTTCCTGAACCAGTTCTTCCTAAAAGGCCTACCTGCAATGCAAACCATAAAAGCATTCAGTACTGCTCACATTAACCACAGTCAAAGGCAGAAACAAGGATCTCAGCAGTGGAGAAAAATTTTAATGATTCTCAATGGGATTCTCAATGTCACTCATTTGAGAATGATAAAAGCCTACGGCAAGAACTAAACAAAACACTAGGTCAGACTCTTCTTTATTTTATTATAATTAACTAAGATGAAGAAATCTGTTAGCTGAAGAAATTTGCTTCTATATTACCTTGTACTTATTAGTCCACCTGTTTTGGCCTTTCCCTTTCTTTTGCTATGAAGCCCTCTTAAACAAAACCCCATCCAGCAGACAAAAACCAAGTAGGAAGAGCACCTGAATCACACTACTAAGCTACTCCATTTCCATAAAATTGAAATCAGAGGGCCTAATTCTGATCAGACCATGACTGTAGTGGGGTAGCTTTGGTCTGAGGCAGTGGTCACAGCACACACGATGCTGTTGCCCTGCCCCAAACAGCAATGTTAAGTCCTCAACCTGCCCAGCTAGTGCTGCCTTTCCCTACCTCTTAGGGTGTAAAGAAAAATAATACACAGGGTTTTTCTAAAATGTTCTCTTTCCCTTATGGGATTCCACTGACCAATTGCTGGAATGAGCAGTATCTGCAGAATCCACAAGCAAATGCCAAGATACTGCCTTTTCCAACAGCTGGGTTTTACACAGCATGAGCTGCTTTTGTAGGGTGACAATATATATGGTGAAGGTTAAGAAAGAGATTCTTCCTGCTGCCTGGCATCCTTTCCATAACAGTGCCTCAGGCCTCTGAGCCATATGAGCAGTCTGCACTGTGTTGCACTGCAATCTACAGAATCTATTGATTCCAATCAACATAAAAGGCATGAGGGAAGACCCACGGAACTAAAGACCTGTTAATTTAACCTCAGCTCCTGGAAAAATTATGGAGGTGATACTGCATAATATTGAAAGGTATTTAAAGAATGATGGCCTCATCATGGAGAGTCAACATGGGTTCACAAAGTGAAAGTCGTGTTTAACTAATTTGATGCCCTTCTATGATAAGGTGGATGAAGAGAAGGTGGTGGATGTAGTTTTTCTGCATTTTAGTAAGGCTCTTGTTACTGTATCTCACAGCATCCTTCTGGACAAGGTCTCCAGATGTGCGATGAGTGGGTTCACAGTGCACTTGGTGAAGTACTAGCTAAAGAGCAGAGCTCAAAGCAGTGCAGTGAATGGGGCTACATCTGGCTGGCAACCAGTCACCAGTGGGGTTCCTCAGGGTTCAATTCTAGGGCCAGTTCTGTTGAATATATTCATCAACAACGTAGGAGTTGAATGCACCAGTGGCAAATTTGCCCATGACACCAGACTAGGAGGTGCTGTTGACTCTCTGGAGGGCCAAGAGGCTTTGCAGAGGAATCTAGATGGATTGGACCATTGAACAATGATTAATGGGATGAAATTTAACAAGCTGAAATGCCGGATTCTGCACCTGGCATGGAGTAATGACGGGCACGAGTATAGACTGGAGTGACTGGGAAGCAGCCCTGCAGAAAGGGATCTGGGGGTGCTGGCTGGCAGCAGGCTCAATAGCAGTCAGCAGCGGTGTGCCCTGGCAGCCAAAAGGCAAACTGCTTCCTGGGGTCCATCAAACACACCGTGACCAGCATGACCAGCCAGTTGAAAATCGCAATTATCCTGCTATATTCAGCATTGGCACAGCCTCACCTTGAACTGTGTACAGTTCTGGACCCCACAGTTTAAGAAAGATGTGAAGGTCCTTGAATGTGTCCAGAGGACGGCAGTGAAGCTGGTGAAAAGGCTGGAAGGAATGCCTTACGAGGAGAGGCTAAGGACTTTGGTTTGGAGAAAAGGAACCTGAGGGGCAACCTCATTGCTCTATACAGATTCCCGAGGAGGGGAAGGGGAGAGGAAAGTGCTAAGCTCTTCTTCCTGGTATCCAGTAATAGGACACGTGGGAATGGTTGAACACTGCACCAGGGGAGGTTTAGACTGGACATTAGGAAACATTATCAAGAGGGCAGCCCTGCCCTGCCTTGTCCTACCCTATCCTGTCCTATCAATCGCATACTATTCTATTCTAGTTCATTCCATTCTATTTTATTCTACTCTGTTTCATTCTTGTGCTGTGCTATTCTACCCCCTCAGCAGAGAAGAGTTCTCCCCTTCCCTGCTTGTTTTACTTTTATTGTCTCTGCTTCCCTATGGGGCAGAGACAAATCCTCTCCAGTTTAAGAAGCATGCTCCAGTTACGGAAATAGTTCCTCTGAGGCCAGGATTCATCACCAAAATTGTACTGAGTTCCTAAATCTTAGCCATTGAAAAAAAAGAGCTTTTTTTTAATTGCTTTGCCCACTCTCTGTACAGTACAAAAGCATCTTTCATTTTTCATTCTCCAAGGGATTTTCCAGGAAGTAAATCCACTAGACTGCAGTGGCACCTGCACCTCCACGCTCCAGGAATCACAGGTGCTTCTCTTCCGAAGGCAGAGCAGTTTCAGGATAGCATTACAGAGGTCAAACTCCCGGTTTCAAAATTTTGGTGCCCTCCAACTTTGTAGAGGAAACATTCAGTTCATGTAAACCAAGACAGACCTACCAAACCTAGCAGAGACTGGTGATATCCAAACTAGGAGCAGAGCTTCCTTCTGGTGAAGCCAGGTTGCTATCACTGAACCTTTTTTTCTCATCTATGTGGGAGAGTTACAATCTGCTCTTCATCTGCGTGGCTGCTACTCAGGAAGTCACGTGAGCCTGTCTTCCCACCCCACCGAGGATGATCCTTCAGCATGAACTTAAAGAAGAGCGTTAAACCTCTGCCTAACTGCTGTACTGAAACTAACGCTCTTTCTTGAATGCAACCCCAAACATACAGGAAGATTAATTAGAGGTCTGTCAATTCTCTGAAGAATAGAGCTGTTTATGGCTTGCTATATAATAATTTGGGGTGGTGCAGAGCCCTCATCGAACAGGCGAGACGGCACCTCCACCCTCTGGCCGCCGGAGCCAGCAGTGCATTACCCTTGGCACAGGAGCCAGTATTCTTTCATGCCCTGCTCCATCAGGGTCAGGCTGCCCCCAGCATCCGCTCTCACCAGCAAGCTTCCCTCTCCCAGGAGGAGGCGGAAGAGTTTAAGCACAGGAATACAGCTTGGGGAACTGCTGCATACATATTTTATCGGGGTATGCTGTTCCTCATGGCCAGCAACCATCCCCACTGTGCTCCACTGAGGAGTAAATAGCCTCAAGATTTCTAGGATAACTGAGGCAGATTTTCCTTGCCCTTTTTTGTCTGTAGTCAGTAATCCTACAGACAAGCTCTTTTTAAAAGGAGACACAAGATATTTCTGTTCTTCAAGTGCTTTAGATGATTACTTTGTTTTGTGACAATTTAATTTACAAAACTTTACTGAACTGAACTACTCTTTAGTCAACGAATAGGTTTATAAAGACATGTCTACAGTTAAGCTTAATAGAAGTCAGATCAAACACACAAAGAAGTGTCTCACCCTCTGCCCTGAGCTTATTGAAAAAGAAATGTTTTCTAACACAGCAGCTCCTCCTTCGCCGTATTTGGCTGTAAGGTCCTTCACAGTCATTTGTCCCCCAGATGGCCATTTCTTCCCTTCCTTCGCATGCCTGTTTTCAATTACAAGGGCATCTGAAAGCTGGTTATTCTTCTGTGGCTTCATGTTTTTCATCTCTTCTGTTGGCATGTCAATGAATTTAAATATTCGTCCAACAGACCGCATCTATGAATCAAAACAGAGTATTCTAATTTTAATTAATACTTAGGTGTCAAAACAAATGCAATCAAGTTATTCCTAATGCCTAGCCAGAACAGCGAGTCTTTTTTCTGTGTAAGTTATGCCATGACATAATTTTAAAAGGCAGGATACTTCCTGTATAGAGCTCAAGATTCTCTTGCTTTTTTACTGCTGACAGTAGTCCAACATGTGATTCCATTTGCTTCCTTTATAAATGGACACAGTAGGTCTTTCCAGCCCTAAAAATGTATTTTGAAAATTGCTGATGACCTGTATTTCTAAAAACAAAGTATGATCATGAAAGCAATCTTGGAGTCTTCAACTCCCTCTATCTGAAAGGGTTGCGCAACCAAAAAGCTGAAGTACCTTGAATAATGATTGATGTCCAAAGATCAGCAGATTATGTGGAAATGGAAAGATGTAAAGCTGTAGCATCAAATACGGAGGAACACTCATCAGACATTAATGCCTGAGTTTCTATGAGAAATTATATATATATCTTTTAGCAAATAATTAGTAGTAAGTTCCATGACAACTAATACTATATCTGTTATTATATGAATTCAGTAAAATAATCAAATCCTGTAATTCATGAACTTCAGACAGAAGCTGTAGTAGAAGTCTTGCTGAATTTTTACAGGAGCATGGGACTTGAAGTGTTCCCCTTGACTGTCTTTTTAATGGGTCAAGGGTCATTTAATAAATAGTTTATTTACCTCCTTCACTAGAACTTCACTGCTCAGGTAGTCAGAAAATGTATTTTTGAGTCTATGGACCAGTTTATTCTTGTAAGTTTATTAATTTCAAATTGTAAACAGCTAACAGCTCTTTTTCCTAGCTGCTTTCCTCAATTTATGGAAAGCTACCTTAGACCAGTCACCTTTTGTTCTCCAGGACAAGAGAAAAGTCCAGGTTTAAGCTTCTTTCTTAACATATGTTCTCCTTCTCTGAACATCACAGTTCAAATTACTCTTTCTTGTCTGACCAGAATGTACACAGCATTTTGGATGACATTTCACAAAGACATTGTACAAAGGCATTGATACTTTCCTATGTATATTAGGAATATCTTGATTAACACACCTTTTCTTCACAGCTACGTCTTTGAGCCACCCTCTGACTGAGCAGTGCTCAGCCAACCTTTCCTCCATCTTAGCCATTTCTAAGAAGATCCTGACTTACCTTAGAGGTTATTCTTAGTAGTCCCTAAATTCAAGTCTTCAAACTTCAGTTACTGAAATCTATTTTGTATCTGCCATTTGAGGTCACTTAATACCTTTCAATTCCCAGCATCCTTCATGCTAACATTGCCTTTCAGCTTTGCGCCTTTGTCAGATTTCTTCAACACTTTTTTTTTCTTTTGAGACCATTAAAAAAAAAGATTAAAATGAGCTCAGTCACAAATCTAATCTTTGTTGAGTAGCCTCCCTACAGCTTAATGCTTACAGCTTAATGCCATTTCCTTTCTGTCCAACTCATTAACTAGTTTACAGTTCTTGTAATAATCCTGATCTCCTTCATTTATATAATTTCTGAAACAGAGCCACAGCCAGTGCTTTCCTGAAGACAAATGAGATCTACTACATTACTTTTGTCTGAAAAATTTATCATCCAGTACAGTTATCAGGTTAGTCTGATGCAACCTTAATGTCAGCAAACCTCAGTGAATTCACTCTGTAAACATTGCATCTTCTATTACATTTTTCAAAATTGTTTCTAAAGACTCCTGTCATCAGACTAACAAACTGATGGGGGCACCAATGACTTTGATTTCTCTTTCTTAACCAAAAGTGACAGTTGTTATTCTATCACATGCCACAACCACTGCCATCTTGGTGGGTTCATTTGATGTGGCCATTATCAGGTCTCCAGCTTCCCAACCAGTTATTCTTCAAATGTCAAGTCTCTCCTTTCTATCTGCTTCTTGATCTCTAGCACAGTTTGTTTGGGTTAACTAATCCATTCTGTAGAGGCTGCAATTTCTAATATGCTTTTATAGAATGTTGTTCATGCTCATAGTCCTAAAGTCCCCCAAAATTCCTATTGTTTTTCTTCTGTATTCAGGAAACAAATTTCAGCTCCTTACTTGAAGAAAATGTGACTTGACTTTACATTCAGGTTCCTAAGTGCTAGTGCAACTTAACTAGATTCCTCATTTTATCAAAATTTGTCCTTGTAAGCAACAAGAGTAAATTATAAGATAGTCTCCATGCTTATTGGTCAGACATTACTTAGCAAACCAAATTAATAAATAGATAGATACTTGCTTAGCTACTGCATCCAGGAATATGTGGGCCTTATTATTAGCATTTATTCTTTAATCTGTATTCCCAGTAGTATCTCTCTGTAGTGGCATTATGGAAAAGCCTTTGTGCATCTTTGACCTTGTTTAGTTGCTTATATATTCCTTCTGCAAAGTGATTCCACTTGATATATTACCATTCCCTCCCATTCTTCGATCAAGATTGAAATATTGTTAGGTGGATTTTCCATGTGGAAGCACATTTATATAAAATGCAAGGAAATAGTAGGATCATAGCTTACATTAAAATCTTGAAACACTATTGTGACACAAAGTATGAAAAACATGCTAACACCTGAGCATATCGATTACAATTTCCATCTCAACCACTGTGCAAGATAGAAAGGCATGTTCATCATCATGCTGATATATGAATGTCATCTCATTTGGTGATACGTACAGGAAGATCTTGGACAAGGCTGACAATTTGCTTCCTGTCTGTCTCTAGTAAATATAATACATGCATGGATGAGCACCATGCATTTGTTTAGTCAGTGTTTGACGGTACATTTGTTTTAGAAATCTTATCTATACAGAAAAAATTCAGAAATGAAGGTCTTTCTTGGCTTCATAAAGACCTATGAACATTTGTACAGGCAGGGATTCCCTACATTTGCCCAAGAGATCCTACCATTACACAGTAGCTAAAATCTATCAGTTTATCAGTAGCTATGAAGCCAGCTGGACAAAGAGCCTTCTCTTACAGCAGAAAATTTCACCTCTATGCCCCAGCTCTCCTGACTAATTTATCAGTCACATCACATATGCAAATATTTTATACAGCTTAATACTTTAAAGAAATTCAAAAGGATGCTTTCCTGGTTCTGTAATTTGAATTATGATTTAGATCTGGACAGAATGCAGCAAAAATGTCACTCACATTTTACAAAAATACCCATTCTTCCTTTCATAGATAGAAATCTTCTACCATTCATAATGACAGGTATAGTGTAGCTGACAGCAAGTTTCTTTCCATTACTTCCATCAACAATGTGCCTGCTATATTCACATTCACTAGTTAATGCTTTAGAATAAAGGAGTATATTTACTACTTCAACTAAAAAAGTCTAGAGCATAATGCACTATTTTTAGCCTTACCTAATTGTATTTTACTGAGATTTTAATAACACTGCACATTCCTTAATTTACTTTCTCATTAATATTACTTAAATTCTTCTTAATGTTGAAGGAGAAGTCATAATATAATTATATAATGTATATTTCCTGAAAGTGGAAGAAGTAATTCTTTTACAGCTAATCTAATACAATTAATTTCATCAGGTCCTATGTCCTCTTCTGCTAAAAGAGAGCAGTTATCCTCTTCAAACCAGACATGCATACTACTTAACGATCATGTTGCAAGACACCACCTCCCCAAAAACATGCTGGCTGGAAAGGGCAGTGTGCAACTCAGAGGTTCCGTGAGAGGTTGGTCCAATTGGCTCATGCTGTAAAAACCCCCAGTGCATTAAGCCACTGAAAAAAAAACAGGGTCAATGCCGACAGACCATAAGGTTTTACTGAGATTTCACACCTTCTGCTGTTACATTTTGGGCGCACTCACAGGGCATATGTTCCTGTTCCATACTGCAAAAATGAAATAATTAATTCATTTAAAACTTGTACTGAATTTTTTGTTCTTTCTCACAGTGCTTTGCAGGCAGAAAAGGAAATGTTCCAACAGATCTTTCATGGTTCTGTTTCCTTCCAGATGACCAATACCTCACTTTGAGAATTGTCATTCTGATGCAGATTTTACAGTCAAGTATTTGGTCTACTTAAACTCTATAAATTAACAGTGGTCTCAGGTTTTATGCTGACATTAGTAAAAACAAGCACCATCATTTTTTCTAAGTCCTAATTTTCCTTTGGTCCTCTCCTCTACTTTAATTCTTCAGCATCCCTGATATACAGGATTGGACACTGTGAGGTTTAGCAAATGTGGTTTCAATATCTCTTTGGGGGATTCTTTTAGTATCTCCTTACATAAGTAATCTTAGCAACAGTAAAAGCATGGCATTTTCTCTGTCCCTGATAAAATGAATTGTCCTTCCCAGTTACAGCATGGCTACTACAGAATACACATCAGTGAACAAGAAGGTTATTAGACATTAAAACAGTCCACTGGGACAAGCCAATGCTTATCTGTGAAAGCAGCACTTACTGGAAAACTTATTTTCTATTATTTCCTTATGAAGGAAAAAGATTAAAAATACTACAAGGCTGCCTGGAGGGATAAGACTGAAAACCAGCTAAAGGGATATTAGCAGAAACGATCAAAGCGAAAAGATAAAGCCAGCCTAACCGGTAGCTTGAAATGAAACAATGGAGAGCTGTCAGAGTGACCACATATGTTAAGAAAATAAAAAAAATTAAAAAAAGCAGAGTAGATAAAGTATCAGGGCTCAGGATGTAGAGAATGAAATGCCAAAACCATTATGGGGTATTAAAAGACAATGGGGATTTTTCAGTTAAAGCCAAACCAGTTCAACAGAAATTGCTTCAAAGAGGGTATCTGTGTATATAAAAAAATCCAAAATAGAAACTTGGAATTCTTCAATATATATGTCAGTGTCACGGAAAGCTCAGGAAGGACATTGTCTGGAATAAAGTCACATTTGCCACCTACCCATCTGTTTGGCCAGTATTCCTTCTGGTTCTTTTTTCCTTCTTCACATGATCCTGCTCCTCTGTTCTCCTGCCTTCCTGTCCTTTTTGCATTTTTTGCATTTATTTTACTGATGTCCCATCCCTTGCATATCTTGTAAAACAACTCAATACGAGCTTAATGTTATGCACTAATTAGAGGAGCTATGCCTGTGGACATGGGTTTCAACCACTTGCAGAAAACTCCAGCTTATCTGACAACCAAAAACTGCTACCTACAAATGTGTTATACATTCAGATGTGCCTTTGTGCAGGCTTTTAAACATGGATGTCACAGCTGCTCAAGGAAGAGCAAGAATGATGCTACCTAGAGTGGTGCGTGCGTGTCTGTAACCAGAGACATATGGAGATGTGTCACTTCTAGTCAATCTGGTCCTCTGAGGAGCTTCAAAGGACCCCCTGAGAGAAAAATAGAGTGTAACCGAATAGACTACTAAGGCACACATGTAAGCCTTTGCAGGACATCTGTCACCAAATAAACGTAAAAGACTTTAAAGAGGGAAGTGCTAAATGTAGAGAATACAGAATGGGAAATTCACCCAGTGAAGCAGTTTTAGTATCTTGAAACCATTAAGCTATTCTTATCTGCTTGCGTATGGGAGCAGCTTTTCAGTGCCAGCAGTATCTATTAGTTTGTCATCTGAGATACCTAAACATCCATGAGATGGGGGTGGGCAGCTATCTACTGCCGAAAGAAGTCCAGAGGATCCACCTATACGCTGATGCACCTTAGAAGGCTATCATTAATAGAATATGACCGGTGCTCCACTACAGTAGTTTGTCTTAATATAGAGAAAAGTACTCACAAACATCTAAAGCAACTTGAGATTTTCTTTTCAGGGGAAAGGGAGTTACTTCCTTATTGCTACTAATAGATGACATTTTAACATTGATGTATTATGAAAAAGGCTAAGTTCTTTATTGAAACCCTGATGTGTCCAGCACCCTCTGAATCCTACAGTAAGACATTCTATTACTCTTGTGAAACACCTTCAGTTTGCATTAAGCTATATAATTCTTATGCAGATTGTTATACTTAAATTGACCACATTATGCCTTACTGGGTTAAATGGAGTTTACAAATGACAGCAGATTAAATGTTTCTGTCTCTGTTGTGCCTTACCAATGGCACATTTTACTTCATTATCAGTCACACAACTGCTGTTTGGTATGTCTTGCAGTTATGGCAAAGAAGGCCTTCTACAAAGTGCTTGGCCTTCAAGACAGGCTGTTCTAAGAAGTAAAGAAAGAGTCAGCATTAAACAACTTGTGGATAGGGAAAAAATGTGTCCCTGAATGGCAGTCAGCTTTCTGGACTATCACCAGTCACATGTGTAAACACGAGATTAGCTGTTGTAAGTGGTTAACGGGTTTGGGGCTCTTAAGGATTTCCTTCAGGATAAGGCTGGTTAAATCACATTTAAAAAAAAAATACATTGAACTGGAAAATATTCCTGCACTGTCATTGTTTGCCCCAATTACTTCCTTTTTTTACCAACAACCCTTTTAAGCTAATCAGGACTGCAGGACTGTCTCCAAGATCTGCTGTAAAAGCTGCTTGTTTTTCAACACTGACATGGTTGTCTCACGAAGCTAATTTAGGGTTCAGAGAGGTTACAACTGGATGTGGGAGGTTTTAATTTCTCAGAATTCTTTTTTTATTGATAAAGCTACTGTATTTTACAACAAGAATTCTGTCTGAAATAGATCCTAAAATGCCAGAAGTGTAAAGAGAAAACTAGCTATTATATTTAAAAATAACATCTAAAACTTTCACACATTCAAGCTAAGGTATGACAAAAACTGTAAGAACAAACATATTCTTTTATGAGTATTCTGCCTGCTTCTCATATCTCAACAGACAGCTGATGATGAGTTAACCTTGTGAAATATTCTGTTTTAAAGCCAATCCTAACTTAACGGACTAGCTACACAAATTCAAGGGGTAAACATGGACCACTCCAGAGCCTTATGTCAGAGAAACAGACCCTCAGGGAAGTCTACAACAGATTTTTTAAATCACTGCTGATTTTGCATGGAGGGAGCTCAAAAACATGCATAGTGATCTGCTGTGCAAAGCCCTTAAGTAGACCAAGTAATGTATATTTTATACCTTGGTAAAGTATATAATTAAAACAATTCCAACCTTTTTTGAAGTTTTCACATCTGCAATCTGAATCCTCAAATTCAATTATTTGCTGCTGCCTATCCTAGTCCATGAAAATTATTGATCTTAAAAAACTCAGTTTGTGCTGTGCCAAAGCCAGTAGGTTGCTATGAAAGGTATGAGGGGAATTTTTCTGATAGATCTGCCTGTTACCCAGCTCAGAAAACAACTCACTGAACACCCATAATCAACAAAATAAGGCAATTCCTCAACAGAAAGCACAGTACAGTGTATTTATGCTTACCAAACTATCCACATCTATGCTTGAATTTACTGCCCACTGCAAGGTTCCCATGATGTTCATAGCTAAAGTAAGAATAATGCCAACTCTACCTGGTCCATCACCTGTGGAGAGAAAAACACAATTTATTTGCAAATAAATCAAAAAATTAACATGTATATCTTAAAATATGTATTCACGTTCTCTCCTCTTTTATTTCATGGAGAAAACACAGATTTGCTACTTATACAAAGGTCTGAGAGCTTAATCATCAGCTAAACACCTGGCTTTGCCGTTGAATTCATTAGAGACCCTGTTCTTGCTTTGGCAGAACAAAAAATTAAATCTTGGTACTTCAGCTGTAAAGAGAATCAGGCCTCTGCAAATCTTGGTTTCCATGGGCTTTTTACAAAGCATATAATCTATGAAATTACTTTTATCTAACTAAAACACCACAGCTGACAACTTCAAAATTCAAGATAGTTGTGCTGCTTTACTTTTTCATTTCTCAGACAAATAGAGGACATGTTCTATTTACTGTTCCACAAAGACGCAGATACTAATTTTTTTTGCTTTTATTGTCTGTTGTAAAAAGCAAGGGGTTTTCCAGGGATTTTCCTTTATGAGTTCATACAGTATAATATAAGCATTTAAACTACCCCACTGTTGGTTTTAATCTCATTATGTGTTAAATGGAACTGCGAATTTAAGCCAAATGCCTTTGTATGATTTCTCCACCTCTTCTATGGCTTTCTTTGACAAACTTCCTCCTGTTTTGCTTATATATATCTTGTTATCAGAACAATTATAGAAGTAAATAAGACAAGTAAAATATTCCTCCTGAAAGCTGGAAGATTAAGAAAAGGAATTTAGTATTGCTCCAAGGACCTTTTATACAGTGGTGGCAAGATGACAAATTTTCAAGTTTTTTAAAAGTGCTTCGAATCCCTTTTCCCAAATATCCAGAAAAACAGTAACACAAGAAACAGTTTTTGTAAAAAAAAGTCAAAACTACTGAGCACATGAAATAAAAAAAATGAGAAGGGCAGCAGGGGACAGTGCATGACTATTTCTACTATTGGTTTGACCTTAAAAAATCACTAAAACTTTGCATGTCTTGGCCATTTGCAAATAAAAGAAACATTAACATCTATTTATTAAAAAAGTCTGAGCTATAGAGATGATAATCAACATCCAAGCTTTTCAGTACACTAACAGGGTTAGATTAATGTGGTTTCAAACACATGAAATTGTTTACAGCAATTATTGTCACTAAAAGTTCTGTCCCTTCAGATATTGTTTTCAGACTAATCTCTTTAATGAGTCCTCTACAACATCAGATTGCAGATAATAATGTGTAATTTCTATTTTAATTAAATCATGTTTATTATTATGACATACTAAAATCAGTGACTCCAATCTATGCTAAACATGTTTGCAATAGTTTATTTTCCTTGGAAGTCCATTTCAGCACTGCAGTAAAATTACTGTACCTGTAGTTATAATAGAGATGAATGCCACAGCAACAAAAAAGACAACAAATATCATTTCTATCCTCATCTGGAACCAGCGCAGTGTTGACAGGTAGAGGAACCAGTTTGCCGTGTGTAGATTCAGGGCTTTGTGAAATAAGGTCTCAAAATACGGCTGCCGCCCAAAAGCTCTCAGTGTCCACAGGCCTTTTAAACTTGTAACAAGATGGGTGAATATTGGACTCCGAGCTGTAAAGTGTTTCAATTAGAAACATCATAAACATTCATAAGCAAATACCTTTGAAATAACACAAATACACAGATTTATGCTCTAACTCACAGCAGTATAATTGTTGTCAGTGTTTAATTTACATATGTTATTGGAGTACATGACCAAAGTAACCCCAGACCAGGATATAAAACAACAGACTTTGCATGAATGGGTTGAAATTCCATATAGTGTAGTGCCAGGAAGGGGTCACATTAATTCTTCATAGTTAGCATACTACTTGGGGAAGCTCCTGCAGAGAAAGATGGCTCCTCCCCAGCCAAAATGAATTTCTGTAATTCTGACAACTCCATCAAGTGAAGTTTTTTTAGCACAGAGTAATGCTCTGGATTCAGCTGTACTGACATTGTAATTTTGAAAGTGGTGAACCAGTGCTGGATCCCTGTGAACATCAAAGAAATTTAGATTTAGATTTGAGGAACTACAGAATTACACTGCAGTAAAGGAAAGATGGTCATCAGCGTTTAAGACTCAGGACTGATTTGCTGAGGATCTGCCAGTTGTAAAGCCAGACCACAGTGCCTGATCTGCAAACTCAGAATGAGGTTTTCCATTTTATTTGAAACATGTTAGTCTCTTAATGGGAGGAGAGGAAAGAAATTTAGTCAAATAACTTATTTAAAAATAAGAATTCTTTGGAATAAAAATATATCAATTCCAATTATTTCTTAAAAAGAAACAAACCCATAGGGCACATACCAAGACTAACAACAATTTTTCAAGTTACATTTACTCTGAAGAAAACTGTATGTCAAGACTTTATTTGTTTTCAGCTGCAGTGGTGGTAAAGCCCAGCTTTAAAAAGATCTTCTCCATTGCTCTTTGGCAGCAGAGCACTCAGTGTTGGCTGGATCAGTAACAGCACTGGCTTTAAGGAGATAAGTGTTCTGCTCCCAGAGACAATAGCATCTTGCAAGAGAAAAGGCAAAGAAGAGGTGAAAGGGTGAATCACTTCTCAATTGATTTCTTGTGGATTTAGAATTCTACCAATTTTGCTGCTCCTACCTTCAGACTCCAGTTGTTTCAGCTGCTGAGAAGTGTGGAGGAAGTATGCCCTTAACACAATAAAGGCTGCTATCACAGGCACTGATGCCAGGAAGATGTAGGGTTGTAATATTGAGACTACTGTTATAGCGCCAATCACAATCAGTATTAACTGTAGAATGAAAGAAAAATACTATTGATATAGTAAACTTGTCATTTTATAGGCTAGAGATTGGTGATGAATCTCCTTCCCATGGCAACTATGTATTGCTTCAACAAACATAAAGTGCTAACCTAAGTAGGATTTGCAGCTGAGAACAAACCTCAATGAAAAGATCATGAATAATTCAGACCAGATCCATAACCTCTTGGAATATCTGCCATCTTTTTTAATAGATGGAAGATGTGTTTCCTATTGTACAACCAGAACTGCAGGCTTCTAAATCACAAAGCCACACAAAAACAATGGCAGCTAGGCATTCACTGTCTAGTTAAAATTGCAAAAACACCACTTGCAGTATCTGCAACCACCTCCCAGACATAGTGGTGGTGTCCCTGTCTTGTCTGGACTACGGATGCCAGGCTGTCAGGAGCTGACTACTACTTGTCCTGATCAGGACAAGACAGGAAATAAGTCATAAGATGATGTGTGGTATGAAAAATTAGCAGTTTCAGGAGAAACAAAGATGGTTTAAGGAGACGGATGACTCAAAGGGAACAAATTCATTCTAGAGTTAATCCAATAAACCCACCACGGTCTCATAAAACCTCATCCTTGGTAGCTCCAGGCAGATTTAGTTAAATCAGGCTTTGATCTTTACTCTAGAAGCACCTTAAGCACTTAGACTGGTTTTGTCTCATACCTAAATCTAATGAAAATCAAGTATATCAGCGTACACAGAATACCAAGTTCTGCTTTGCATCAGGGTGTTACCTTTCACACTGAGCAACTACTTCAGACTGCAAAATCATCTGCACAAAGCAGCTGCAAATGGACAATTTGGACAAAATTACGAACATCACATTGAAACATCATTTGAAATGACCGCTCAGCAAAGAAATAGATGGAAAGCAAAGCTAATTTCACATTAGGAAGAAACCTGCTGGTGTTGCCTTTGCTACTACATCTACATAAATTCCAGGAAGGATTGAAATTGCCAGTACTCGAAGTCAGAGTCTTTCAGGAACAGGTAAGCATGTTCCAGGTTACTTTTTTTTTTTTTTTTAAATCAGAAATCTGAGCAATGCAATAGAAAAGTAAGTGTAAAGGTAACCAGAAGATGATACCTTCTCTACAAGGCAGTAGCAAAAATCAACACACAAGCCAGCGACGTTGGCATATGGTCAGGGAATGGCAGCAGAGGGCTCACATAGCCCAGTTAAGAGCCACAGTGCTGCACTGCTGTGCCCCAGGTGCTGAGCTTTCAGGCCTGGGACAGAGGCCAGATGGGGAGACATGTTCTAACCTTCCTCTGTGTCACCGGTTTGGAAATGCAGCCGGTGGTAGACATAGCGATTTAGTAAGGGTTCAGGGTGGTGATGACTGCATCAGCCAATCTGGTTAAACAATGGGGGTTTATTATTTAGGGAAAACCAGTCATGACCACAGGTATAAATGTCCAGTGAGTTCACCATGACTTTTTGAGTGTGACTACATTAAACCTGAAGGACAACCAGTATCTGCCATCTCATGAAGGATCTCCAGGGAATGATGGCCCCACTGTAAGCACTGGTAGAAGACCAAGATAGATGTTAAAACTAGTGGTAATGCTACTGCAGTCATAACCTGGTTACAGTTCATACCCAAGATGTATGGAGCAGGCCAGACTGCTGTCAGAGAAAGCATCACAGATGCCATCTCTTGTCATTGATATGGAGGCTGATACCACTGTTTCCTTTATGGGCAGCTGGGTACATCCCAGTGATTGCAGAGTAACCCTGGCCTCTTTCAACCTTAAGTTTCATTCATCCTGGATGAAAAGCCCTTGTCCCTGAATGGGAAGGCCCACCAATAAGTCTACTGCCCATAAAAGTCCTAAGAAAAGCTAATCATCTTCATCTTGAAGATGATAAAGGGACTGGAACATCTCAGGTTGATAGAGCTGGGATTGTTTAGCCTTAAGAGAAGGCTTAGGGGATCTTACCTTATGGTATTTGTTATATATTATTTTGTGTATATGTGCAAATATTTTTATAAATTATGTATATTTAACAATTACATTCTGTTTACATGAATACCACTAGATAGTTGGTGCAGATAAAATGCATCAGTGGTACCCCATGGGAAGATAAGAGGCAATGAGCACAAGCTGAAATGCACAAAATTCCATTTAAACTTAAGAAAAAATTTATTTTGACCATCCCCACATCTTATTGTGAGGATGGTCAAACACTGGAAAGGGTTATTCAGAGAACATGTGGAGAGTCCACCCTTGGAGATATCCAAATCCAATGGCCCTGAGCAACCTGCCCTAGCTGAACCTGCTTTAAGCAGAGGGGTTGGAGAGGTCCCAGGTCCTAAGTCCAGAGATCACTCCCACATTCTGCAATAATCAGCGGGTTTCCTCTTTCAGAGGAATCTGAGTTTGTTCATAAGCATGGTCCATGGAATTTTAAGGCTTCCAAACAAGACTGAATCTATAGAAGATCAGAAGGATTGTTTTTATGAATGGATGACCAGTGAAAAGCATTCAAGACAGCATTCAAGTAGGTTCAATGATCTTCACCAGAAGAACCTAAAAAGACAGGGCAGCTTATCATGTATGTTCAGGAGCCTCTGCAGTTGAGACTGAGGAGACAGAGGTGAACCTATAGGACACCAGAGAATAGGTTAGACTCTGAAAGGCATCACAACAGAAAAGCTAAATTTAGGGATTTTTCCTTACTGTTGAAAATATGAGAAACCAGTGTAGAGAGTCTGAAATATAGAGACAGGCTAACTAAAATGATTTTGGAATAAAATCCTCATGGCAGATCCAAATACTAGAAACAAAATGGCCACATCAGAAAAGACAGTAGTGAATCCTGATCATACCAAAGATAACACTAATGATTCAGAGAAGGCCCTAGTGTCCATGTTTACTCCTTCAGCAAATCTTCATGATGTCAGCGGGATATGGAGTGTAATGTCATTGAATCTCTTCATGTGAACTTGCATTGGCCTCTCTAAAGTCATGAGCCTAAGTTACCAATTACTAACAAAGATACAGGGAAAGCAATTTGGCTTTGATCAGACCATCATGTTGATAGGGGTGGTAAAGCAAAGCAAACTCACAGATGGAGACAGGCAATCTGTGCAGCAGAGCGTTTAGGTTGATTGCCAAGCCTGCCCATCTCCTAAATAAAGGTAGAGAGGAACACGAGGGCCAGGGGAGATTTTATTTTATTTTTTAAATGTTTCTGGGAATCAGCTCTACCTGAGGAAAAGCTGGCATTGCAGCATTAGTGGTGGGACACTAATGAGGAGTGATGGGATCCACAAAGCCGCAAAGTCTCAGAATAGGCAGGACGGGAAGCAAACAAAGACATCCTGCTTGAGAAACACTGGAATTGCCTTTATTTCTGTATTTCTTCAATGTTCTCTTCAGTGTGGATGAATTGGAAGGTCATTCAAAACTGAAGATTTTGCAATACATGGAGTTTCCCAGGACGTATGCTGGAAACAAGCCTTTCCATCCAAAACCCAAAAAGTTTGCAATTCTACAATTAAAAAGGGCTAGAGACAGACTGAGAAAATTGGGGCTGTTCAGCCTGGAAAAGAGAAGGCTGCTTGGAGACCTCATAGCAGCCTTCCAGTATCTGAAGGGGTCCTACAAGGGTGCTAGAGGGAGACTCTTCATCAGATACTATAGCGATAGGACAAGAGGTAACAGGCTCCAACTTCAACAGGGGAGATTCAGGCTAGATATAAGGAAAAATTTCTTTACTGTGAGAGTGGTGAGGCACTGGAAAAGGTTGCCCAAAGAAATGACAAATGCTCCATCCTTGGCAGTGTTCAAGGCCAGGTTGGACAGAGCCTTGGGTGATATGGTTTAGTGTGAGGTGTCACTGCCCATGGCAGGGGGGGTGGAACTTGATGATCTTAAGGTCATTTCCAACCCTAACTATTCTATGATTCTACAACCCAGGAATGTAAAATTCCTTCAAATAACAGAGTCATCTAAAGCTTTTCTCCATCATAAATAGTTCTCCAGTTCCTGACAGCTTAAATCCCAGAGACTCAGGGGAAGCCATAAAGATGCAAAGGATAAAAAGACAAAATTATGCAGTCAAACTTGTTAAGGGGGGAAAAAAAGGGGGGGGGGGGGGGGAAGCACAGAACTGCCCAACTGAGATCAGAACACAAAACATCATGGTTCAAACTGCCTCAAAAGGCAGTCCTGGAAGAATTTCCCCAGAAGATAAGAGAACAGAAAACCAAAAATGTATTCAAGAAAAGAGAAGAACTACATTAGGGGTGATGCTAGCAAACTGGTAACAGAAGAGGCTAAGGATGTAAAGTAATGAAAATGAGTGAATGCACTCAACGGATAGCATGAAAAAGAAAATACTAATCTCGAGCCAAGATAAACAAAAGAAACTAATGAATGTCCTTTACACTTCTGAAGTTGAATGCAGGCAGAAGCAGGGATACTTGTACTGGAGGGGTCTGCAGGGCAAAAGTGTTTCTGAGCCTGAGTACTAAGTGGTTTGGACAAACATACACACATAGCTAAGTACTCAAAAAAGAAGCGATGAAGGCCACACACAACATAAGGACCTATGCAAATAGGTATACAGACTGAAAAAAAGAGGCATTTTATTCCAATTGCTATTTCTTCTTCTTAGTAAGATTTCTTTTGCATGATGTACAGCTGAAACTCTACAGCGCCATAAGACAGCAAAGTTTAGAACTTTTATTCTACAAACCTGTATGAAGTCAAATACTGTAAGTGGAAGTAAGTCATCCAGTATTGCCGTATCTTTGGAAAATCTGTTAAGCATGCCACCTATGAATTGAGGAAAAAAAAAAAAGAAAAAGAAAGTCAAACATTTAACACCCCAAAAATCCTACATTTATTACTTTAATAAAAAGAACAACTGTTTCTGAATACAAAATATTGAGTACAAGATTTTTTCTATTACATGTAATTCCACTACACTACAGTTTAGTTCAGCTACAGCTTCCTTCCCCATGGAGGAATTTGGCTCCACAACTTCTGTTCCAACTTTTGGAATTTTGAAAAAAAAAAAAGCCAACAACAAGAAAATGTAATAAAAACAAACAATTAAGCAGGACAGAGACACAAAGCATAAGGTCTGTACCCCTTATGCAGCAGGCTCTGCTGATATACAGACCGTTTGCACAGCAGCATTTGCATGAGTTTGCACAACAGTTTCCTAGCTTCTGAGCAGAATTACTGTATTAATCACAGGTAACAAGAGAATTAAGAATTTAATGGAAAAATGAAGGCGAAACCCTATGCTGTATTGACATTTACCAGCATTTCCTGTAATTTAGTACGCAGCAGTAAGAAGGGTAGAGGGTAGGAATTTTATGTACAGCGGGAGATAGAACTTGTTGCACCAGTTATGTAATGAACTCTGTATCAACTCCAGAGCCAAATTTGAACACGCATACCATTATTCACACTAGCTGAGGTTTATGCCATTTTAGTAGCACTACTCACGAAATCAAGCACTATTTATCATCCACATCTGACTCCTTGTCACTCACCACAGAGCTGACTACAGCTTTTCTATTACAGTTTTAGACAAGGTCTATTCATTAGAAGCTATTCTAGTTTTATTGCCTCAAACAGTTAACAGTTCATTTTCTCTAACTTAAAAGGTGATATTTCAGAAATGGAATTGATAACTGAAATATGTCACACTTAAAGTGCACTCAAGATTCATTAAAAGATTCACAAGTTACTTAATGTGGCAAACTTCTAACATTCAACTTGATTGAAAATATAAATGGAAACCAACAGTATCCTTCAACAGAATGAAAACTGTTTAATTGAAATGAAATCCATACATGAGTCAATCAGTTCCCATCTCAGTTACCTGCTTTCCAAGAGTTGAATGTTGACATAGGTGCATGAAGAACTGCATGCACCATCTTTTGATGAAGAGTTTTAGACACTGTGATAAGCGTATGCACAAGGGGCAAACCTCTGAAGATTCCCATGGCAAGCAGGGTATCTGCCACTCCCACGTAGATATAAATGATGTAGTAGGTGCTAGTGTCAGTGACAATCACAGGAGGTTTGTCAGAGGTACTGTTTTCTGATTGTGTTGCATTTGCTTTCAAGGCTATCCTATTTGATGGAAATTAAAAAAAAAAATGCATTACTGGAAATAGCATTTTTTTCTCTTATTTTCTCTACTGAAGAGTACTTCAATGTTCATTTATTTAAAAACTATGTTAATGGTTAGTTATATGTATTTCCAGTCACTTTTAAATATTGTCCTGTATGTCTGAAATGTAAATTACGAACTACCCCACAATCCACTGAGGCAAAGTAACCCTGTGTGTGTTCAGCGGTCAAGGCAATAAATGGCTTACTCATCTACTCAGCTACCTTTGGTAATTCAGGAACCTACTGGCATTTGTAGCAATTTCTGAAATTAATTGCAATTGTGCAATGAAGGGGGTTTTGCCAAGATGGAAATTAAGCTCATGGTATAACCACAGCCCCTCCAATAATTTTCCCTAAACTACTATGAAAACGTCCTGCTTTGGTAGTCTCTTGCAGATCTACTGCCTGTTAAATCACTGACAAAACTCGTCTAATCATAGAAAACACATCCACCTCTTTTAATAAGAAAAGAAAAACATTTAAGTGTTGAAAAGAATTATTCTGGAAGTAAAATGCTTTAGGTGTACTGTAAAAATCAAACACCTTAGTGACCTACTGTAAGGGGACATCAAAATAAATCCCTCCTCCTCATCAGACCTATGTCACCATATGTTTTCAGGCTTAGCGCTTCAGGACAAAAACAGGGATCAAAAGCATTAGCCCAGGAAAAGCCACACTGTTGCTCTCTATGTTTTAACCTTCATCTGCCTGACCCTGTCACTTCTTGGAATTTTTCACAGGTGAGCAGAGGAAACAGTACAAATGAACGGAAACTTCTCCCTTAAAATGTTCCCTAGAAAATGTCTCACCTGCCGTGCTCTGAAAGTGATGAACCACAGTGTATTCGGGATAAGTCCATGCATCTCTAGAGTCAGCTGGGCCAGAAAAAGTCTTGCATGCCTTGTTACGTGCTCAATAACAAGGCACAAACTGTTTGATTGTCAGCACTTAAAGAAGTACCAGCTTAAGATACCACCTACATGAGAGATTTAGACCATCCACCTCTGAACCATTTTATGGAATATAAGCTAGTGCCTATCCATATAGAATTCTGGCTGAATGCATTATTTATAGCAAAAATCAATACAATGGAGACCACAGGTTCTCACTACTTACTTTTTAAGAAACCACAATCCAGCAAGAGAAGCAGCTACCTGTGACCAAAGAAAACAAAGTCAATTTTTTTGTCTTGTCACATTATGCACTTTTTCTTACTTATCTTCTTCTACTGACTTTATAACTGTTTTTAGAGAGAGCATTATAAATGAATGGAAGTCAAACTTCCCTGAAGCAGAAAATTTTGTCATAACGGCTCCTCTTTCCACAGAAACTATTAGTGCATCCCACCAGGAAAGCTACATTTAGACTTGTATTACAATCAGGCTCTCAAGTGCCTAAATATTCTTTTATTGTTTTTTACCCTAGTATTAACAAAGGCTTGCTAATGCATTCCTAATGACAAGGAATATTCACTGTACGCTTTAACATATTTTAAGTTTTAAAGACTAAGATTTCTTCCTAAAAGAGACTCTCAGTATCTTCAAAGGCAGCTATTCAAATACAAATGTCAAACCTTTAACACTGTTATTTTTGCATTGTTGTTTTTGGTAGCTGATACCTACATTTGATATATCAACTCATCTGATATTTACATAATTCTCTACATAATCTATTTTAATACTTTTAAAATGTGGAATTGAACCATTCTTATTGTGAGATGCTTCAATGCTCAACAGAAGCTTACTCTGGAACACTATTTCTTGTCTGTCCAGTGAGGCACTGGAGATCTTCATGCAGTCCACCACATTTCAGTCTACTATACTTCTGCCTAGAATCTTTTTTCTAAAGGTTGACATAGTTTCTACAATACTCTTCCCATATATTTTTATGGCACTGGTACAGGAATGTATTGCCATAATACTCCGCTATCTAATTAATTCTTCTCCTTAGGAACCACTAACTTTTGGAGGTCTTACAGTAAATAACTCAAGATTGACCATGATGCCCTGAATTTAAACATTTGTGAGGATCAGGCTTCCTTCACAATAATATTTTCACATCTCTCACCAGAATTCTTTTCTCATCCTCACAACAGAGGAGCTTTTCACCTGTGAAGATGAAGGTAGATAATACAGTGACAGAATAACTTCACAAAGCCTTTCTATACGTTTCCAATCGTAACTGCTCTTCTCCCGGTTCAGCAATCCTAGTCTCTGCAAATTACATCTAGGAAATACAGTTCTGAGCCACTTAAAAGAGCTACAAACACACACAACCCCACAAATCTACGAAGAATGTACAACTGATGCACTATTTATGGTGATCTGTGTGGACTCACCCCGGAATCTGCAATACAAAGCAATCCATTCTAAACCTAAGATAGTATCTCCAGCATTTCCACAACACTCCCACCCAGCTCTGAAAGGTGTCACAACTTCACTTTCCATTTATGTGTCACTACTCTCCCAGTTCAGCTCTTGGACGCTCATCCCTAACCTCTCTGCATTGTCTAGGGGTCACAGTGTGGTGAGTGTCAGGATGATGGAGCTAGGTTTTTTTCAGTGATGTCCAGTGATAGGACAAGGGGCAATGGGTGTAAACTGGAGCATAGGAGGTTCCATGTGAACATCAGGAAAAATTTCTTTACTGTGAGAGTGACGGATCACTGGAACAGGTTGCCCAGGGGGGTTGTGGAGTCTCCTACGTTGGAGATATTCAAGGCCCGCCTGGACAAGTTCCCGTGTGATGTACTCTAGGTTACCCTGCTCTTGCAGGAGGGTTGGACTAGATGATCTTTTGAGGTCCCTTCCAACCCTTAGGATTCTGTGATTCTGTGATTCTGTGTAGGGTACAAACTGTTAGCACAGGCCACATAACCACTTGGCATGGTATTTCATCTCATGCTCAAAGATCTGCTAAAGGTTATATAGTCTGTACTATGGCTGAATATCTTCCAGCCCATTAACTTATCAATAGGCTTTTACTTAAGCAACAGTCATACTGGAAAGTTTAACTTAGATGGATACATTCTTTGTCATAGGATTTATTCTTCAATTAGAAGATAAGGCTTTTGAATTATTTAAAAAGGTTTCAGTCAAATTTAAAAGAAAAAATTGGTAATCAAGATTAGACATGTATGCCGAATATACAGGGATAAATCTGATATACCTCAAAATTTCCCTCTTCCCTAAAATGCACATTTAGCTTTGCTATTGTAAGTTTATAGAGGCATTTCCCACTAGCATGAAAACAAAAACTTACATAAGAACAGCTATGCATCTAAATACTGTCTTGCTTCTGGAGTTGGTTTAAAAATTTGGGATATCAAACGATCTAAGCTTCCAGGCTTTATTCCTAGTCCAAAAGAACTAATTTAAATCACCTGCAACATAACATTAGTGTAGATTCAGGATAACATCAATCATATCTTTCTCCAGGTTTGATGGTACTAGAAGTTTGAATACCACCATAGAACTGTTACAAACCTTTCATTGACACAGTCAGCCCAGAACTAGTTCTAATGGAACTCCTAATGGATTTTTCTCTTCTTTCATTTCATGTTGAAAAATGCCAAGAGAAGTTGGTACCATATATTATAAGTTGACATATGAATACAGGTTCATTAATCTCCCAGTCTTCTCCCTGAAACATGTTTCTTCCCTCAGAAAAACACTTGATTTATAATACTAGGTGTAAAAGAGGACACTGCGAGATACTGTACATATGCTAAATGTCTTTCCTAAATTGGGAGACAAGTCAAATGCAGGAAATTTCTGTTACAATAAAAATAGTCAGACTTGCATCATCAGATAGGTTCCTCAGCACTTTTTCTGACAGTGTTTCCCACTGTACTTGGAAAAAGTCTTCCCTGCATGCTGCAGACCCACCCCATTCATCCTTAAATGCTGTCACAGGCATTCAGCCCTCTGCCTTACCACTCTTCTTTCACTAGGAGCAAAGCTTCTAACTTCCTTTTTAAAGCAATTCTCCAGAATTTATGTATGTGCTCAGAGGAAAAAAAAAAAAAAAGAAAAGTAATAGTTGCTGTGTTGCTGTTGAGCCCTCAAGGCTCTGAACAGTATCTTAGAATGGAAAATGGAAGATTATTCACCTGTGAACAAGAGACCTGCATAGGATAACAATTCTTATCTATGGTACCACACAGCAGAAAGTAAGTGTGATAATTTGAGAAAGTGGGTCTTCTGCTGCCATGCACTAATCACTATTTTTGGTGAGAAATGCTCATCTAAACAGTAGAAAAGTCATTGCAATATCACTTAAAGCAGTTGCCAATAAGTAATACATACATGAGCTAATGCTAATAAGAATCTGATGCTTCATCCTTTTTATCACAAAGTCTGAACAAAAATCCTTTGTAGTAACATGACATCAAGTGCAGATTTTCTTACCTCAATTAAGAAGACAGTCACACACAAAATTAGAACAAAAATCAAGTTTTTGTGGACGGTAACATATCTAAAATAGGTATTCCATGTGGTAACAGTACCCATGCTTTCAGCATCATCAGTGAAGCATTCCTGTCAAAGAGTTCACAAGACCATACTAAGAATGATATTATCTATATATGAGAATTTATGACACATGAATGCTGTTCTGCTAACTCAGTCCAAATAATTAAACTGCATCATTCAAACTGTCTGATAATGGCTACAGAGGAAGGTACTGGCAGGTTAAGTCATCTTTGATAGAAAAAAACAGTTTAGAGATAATCTGCAATTTTCAGACAAATTTTTGTGAGCCTTAACATTTCAAATGTCAATTTTAATAATTGTTTTAAAACAACGCTTTCCCATGTCATGGTTTCAAATTTCATTTTAGCATAATCTTAAAGGTAGATTAAAATTCTGCATTGAAGTCCTCTACAAATAGCATTCAAAAAACTGTGAAAAATCAGGCAAAATTTTTTTTTTAGGATTTCAACAATTTCAAGATGAAATTTGAGTTAAAATTTTCACAGATATTCCAAAAGGATATTCCATAGGGAAGAACTGCATTAGGAATGACATAGTCAAGCAGAAAAATAAGTAAGGAATATACTGCACTAAACTATCACCATGTCAAAACTCAGGATGAATGTAAATCAACACATACCTTCAAATCCTCTTCGTTGATTTCATCAGTTATGTCTAAGACACTGTCCCGAGACAAGCGCCTGGTGTAGATATCTATCTCAGAAGACAGGTTCGTCTGAGGCACCACTGACATTTTCCTAAATGTTGTACTTCCCTTTTTGGAAAAGTTTGGTCCGAGGTTCACAGAGGTGCCCGTCATCAGATTTAACACAGACTGCCTCCTCCGACCTTGCAGCAGCATATGGTCAGTGTTCAGCACATGACTCCGAAGCAGACCTACATCTCCCTGTTCCAAGTCAGGCACCAGTGACAGCCTCCTTTCTGGTGGGTCATTGTGGCCATCTTCTATCCCATTGACTTGCATTCCATTCTTTTGCACTACTGAGAACTTTCTACCTGCATTAAGAGGGTTAATAATTACGGAGTTCTTCCTTTTGTCATTAAAATCTGATGTCTGTTTAAAAGATTGCTTCTTGGTTTCATTTCGTGATCCCATGCCTTCTCCTTCAATGGAAAATCGTCGGAGAGTCTCGGTTAGTATAGAATTTCTTCTCTCTGCACTGAACTGATCAAAAGAATCAAATCCCATCAGCTCTGAACTGAAGTCAGGCCGTTGACCCTGAAGTTCAGAAAATGTCCCATAAAAATAGCAGCTCCCTTCATGTAAAATTAGTATTTTGTCAGCAATCTTTAAATGTTCCAGTTTTGAAGTAACTAAGATCCTAGTTTTATTCGCCATCAGCTTGCATACACAGCTATAAAAGATGAAAGTGTTAAAAGCAAGATTTTTTTCTTCGTTATTAAATATTGCTTACATCCCTTTCACTTTCAATCTATTCCCTTTTACCTCCCCCCTCCCAGGATGTGCAGCCTTGCGCACTCCCTCAAACTACAAAGGAAGCAGTAAGGCTGAGATGTGTAAAGGGTGAGTACTTTACCGCAGGAACCAAATGAAGAGGAGAAAATTTAATCATTTTCAATCCAAAAGGCACAGTTCAACATGAAAATTAAATACTTCTTTTCATCTTATGGTTTCTTAGATCTTTTGCTGCCAAACAAGTATTAGCTTGATTTCAAAACATCAAACTTATGATGACTGAAAAGCTCATGCATAACAGTGTGTATGTCCTTACTCTTTCAAGCTCCACCTCCAGGACAAGTAAAAAGTCTATGTCCCTGTCCTGCCTGCTGCCAATCTCCTGGTCAGTGGGCACTTTCAGGTGACCAGTTTTTCAGTCATTAGAAAAATAAGAGAAAATACAGCTTTTTGTAAAAATTTATACTTACAAAGCAGGTGTTTTAAAATTAAAGCCTTTCTGGTACACAGATATACCAGATATAAAGCCATGCTCTCTGGGAGGAATAGATTATAGCAGGCTCAATATGTTGCAATGGAAGAGGGAGCATTAATGCACACACCTGGCTCAGGCTTGTCCCCAGCAAAGTATCCTGTGTCCTACTGCTAACACAAAATACTCAGCCACAAGAATGCCTTAAAATAAACAGCCCTAAAAGATACAATTTTGATCATTTCAGTATTGTTTTACTGAATTCCTGTTCTTGGTTTTACTTTGTGCTGCTTTGTGGGATTCTTAAATACAATCTATCAAAATATACAGTACCTTTCAAATATCTCTTTTTCTGTAAAAATGTCTAAATGCCCAAAAGGAGAATCCATGAGATACAAATCAGCATCTTTGTACACTGCTCTAAACAGAGAAAACAGAAATTACATTAACTTTCACAAGTCTTATAAATTTACGTAAATATAACTTAAAGACAATGCCTTTGTCTCAGAAACTCATAACTGGTAGACTTTATGACAGCATCAATGTGGAGCTGGAGTTCAGTTTTAAATACACTTGCAAGACACCTTTCAGTAAAGCCTTTCCTTGCTGCAGACCACATTACAAACCAATTGGGTTTTCTCTTAATTTCTGTGCAATCAAAGCAAGCTATACAGCTGCCTTTACATAGGTTACTCTAAAGACCTGTTTATGGCCTGAATCTGACAGGCGCCATCAGTGTATAATGACCACTTAAATGGGAATTTGCTACCTACTGTAATGCCTACCGATACCTGAGGGAATGCTACATAAATGTAATTGTGTGAAAAGATTAGGTCTTAGCACTTAGTTTTAAAGTACTTCAAAGTAACTGTGAGCAAAGACAAGTGTATTAGTGAGCCGTGATCTAGCAAACGATATCTGAAATGGAGATGTACAATAGTTTGTGGTCAGGACATGAAAAACTATTTGTAGCATTAGGACCTTAAGCTTTATGTGACTGGACATGGATCACTGAGATCTAAAGCTGGAGTTAAGAAGGTTTTTTATTTCAAATCGATTCAAAAAGGCCCCTTATCTACCTCTGTGAATATGAAAATCATGAAGTGATATGAATCAGGGTGTAATTAGCAAGGAAAATTTCGACAGCTGCATTTCGGTACTTTTTAAAGTACTCTAAAATGAGTTTTAAAATCATTATGTTAAACAATGTGAGAATATTTAACCACCAGGAGAAAAAGCCCTCAATAATAGCATATTATGTTCATGAACCAAGCAACTTCATTGAAAAATCCTCTGTCACGATGGATTTCACTGACCATACATTATGATGTAGTGGCTGCACAACAACAAAAGTTCATACTGTTCTTGGCACTTCTATCAGCAAAAAGTTTGCATTTTTTTTTTTCCTGGAATAATGGTAGCACTCAAATTATTGCTATAATTGGTATGTTGGGCTTAGTAGCTATACATGACCGCCTTTAGGGTACCAGGCCAGTGAGGCAGCTCAAAGCCAGGGCAGGGGCTGTTTTTTTTCCCTTGATCTTTTCTTTCCCCCTGTTATAGCTGGAAGGCATTGACAAAGCTCTAGAAGAAAGATGGACTTGGGCAATCTCTATCAGCTTCTCATGATGGCTGGTTGATGGCACTTTCAGCTGGAAGTCTCATTTCACATGACTTTGCACAGAGTACACCAGAAATGTGCATGAAGACAGTCAAGCAAATAACATCCAGCTTATAAGCAGTGCAGATGGGGCTGTAAACCTAAATTTTCTCCTCTAGCTTTCTTAGAACTTTATCTGCAGCCCACACCTCAACCACCTGCACACCTTGCAGCATGCCGAGTTTAGAGTGGAGCCCAAACAAAATGTAAAGCAGATATAGCCACTGACTTTGGGACATTTAATTGTTTTTTTTAATAATAATTATGTAGCTGACAATAAATATACTATATCAGTTATGTGACCCTCCAGTAAATGAACTGTGACTATCTGAAAAATAACAGATGTGATTATCCACAGAATCTAGGAAATATTTCCTTAAATGTTGAATTCCAAATGAAAATCTAAGTGGGTTTCAGAATCATAGAATAGTTAGGGTTGGAAAGGACCTTAAGATCACCAAGTTCCAAGCCCCTGCCATGGGCAGGGACACCTCACACTAAATCACATCACCCAAGGCTCTGTCCAACCGAGCCTTGAACACTGCCAGGGTTGGTTGGGTTTTTTTGCTCTGAAAGCTTTGCCAGATCCTCCTGTTCTCTCTTACCACATAAATCAGAACCATCCATATGTCTTTTCCCTCTCACAAATTTGCTAGAAAGATCCACACTAAAAGACTCTCTGTGTTAATGAACCCATCTTTTAGCCTCACACAGACATGCATATCTTTCATGGGTTGCCAGTGTGGATCATCATAATGTGCTTTAACTTCTACCCAGAGTTTCTGAGCATGGGAACCACCACAGTTTGTACTTGGCACAGAAACAAGTGGGGCCATTTACACATCAGAGCTGTCATTACTGAACCTCTGATGACAGCTAAGTGATTCCACTGACACACATTGCAAATTTGTTAGACAAACACCTACGTTATTGTTCTGTAGATCTTCAAAATTGCTAACACGGGAAGGTCAAACAGACAAGGCCAGATCGTTATTCATAGGTACTGGCTAGCCATTCCTTTCTTAACCATTCTATGAGTCTATGATTCCACTTCTTTTTTTTTTTTTTTTTTTTTTAAACAGAAAAACCAAAACTATTAGCAACATTTTTTGAAACATGGAATTTTTTCATCTGGAATCTTTTGTACACGTTTCTTTGGTACTTGGAAAGCTACACTTACAGGACTAAATCTCCATAGACATCTTGCATCAGGGAGTGAAAGATTTATCTTCAGCTAAGCCATGGCATGCATCTAACATCAAACTTTCAAAATCTAATACAGAAATATGCAGGTGTATCACAAACACAGTTACATAGCAAAACTCAGATTTCTGAGTGTAAAATGAAGTGCAAGCTGGTGGATATTTATTTAGCAGGACCTGGTTCACATATATTTAAGTGCTCAGTCGTAATAATTTCCTTATACAAGAAACAGTACGTTACTTGGAGAGTAAAATACCTTGCTAGTGAGATTCGTGCTCGCTGGCCTCCACTCAGAATGATTCCACCTTCACCCAGCACTGTATAATCTTTGTCTGGGAACTTGGAAATATCCTGTTAACATTGTTTTAAAGAATTAGACATGTATTTTCCATATCCAAGAAACTCAAGTTAGACTGGATAGAATCACAATGCACAACAGTGTACAGACAGGTTAGACAGAAGTGGTAAAAAAACCCTCCCACAGAGGTTTATTTTTTTAAGTTGTTTATGTAATCAGAAATGGTTATAAAAGAAAATGTGTAATTCTACTGCAGAGAGCAATCACAAGCTGCAAGATCTCAAGAATAAATATTTGTCTTGATTGCTAGATCTCTATAAAAGCAGAGAATGTACCTTCATACAATATCAAACCAAGATGTTAACTGGTTGTGTTTTCTGTCAAGTAACAATGGCAAATGCATTTACCACTGAAGTTAGGGAGAACAAGAAGCTAACTCGGGATCTGAGTTCTTCAGAGCCCAGAGAATTTAATACCTCAAGTATGTTCATTAAAAAAGGCTTGCACAAAATTCCTAGCCAGGAATGCCAGGAATACTCAAGGTTTGCAAAAGGTCTGGGAGCCAAGTTCCACTGCTTGGGCTGTGTGTTACTTACAGCTCATGACCATGCTAAAAATTAATCTTTAGCCAGTGGAAAAAAAATAGAAAATTCCATTTCCTTCTCATGTGAGACAGAGAAAGGAGTAAAGGACATCCTTGTGCCCCACTGGCAGAGGTGGCCAGAAACTTTTTGAGGGGAGTATTTAGCACCAAAATTGACAATCCTTGCAAACCACAATAATTCATGGAAGTTGGGACATGGAAAATGGCTTGCGTGCTTGAAGGCTGCCTAGTTTTGATACTCCTACAGTTGCTCTAAATTCTGCCTTCTAGTCTTCGCTGGCCTACGTCTTTAAGCTACTATAGTGATACCACTGTAACTGTGGTAGATTCAGGGCACTCCTCCCAGAAATATGGGCTGATGACTCCCCTGTGCCCCAGGAAACCAAAGTTTCCAGCAGGTGTGACACCAGGGTAGTTTGCCTTGTGCAAAGCTGGGAGTCCTGAGCATCCTAGAAGCTCCCAGTGCCTGTGCTCCCCACTCGGCAGCACAGGACTGCTGCTCTTGCTGCCTATGCACGTCCTCCCACTCCAAAGACAGGGATCCCCCACAGCCAAGGAAGCTGTCCAAGGCATCTGATACCAGACAAAATCAGCTCCAGTGTTCTCATGCCTTACAAAGATGTGCAACTTCTGGAGGAAAAAAGTGGTATGCAAAATTCCCCGGAAAGTGAGCTGCTGGGAGCAGGCTTTAGGGAATGGTGTGGAAAAGGCAGCCTGATTTGTGGTCTCTCTTCCCCCAGGCAGCCGAGAGACATACAGGAACTCTGCAGTCTGCATGCACTCCACAGCACCCACAGAAACCCTGCGACATCTGGGAAAAATACCAGAAGACATGTGAAGCACTTCCAGTGCAATCCAACCTTCGGATTGTAAGTTGAACTGCTCTCTAGAAGTTTGCATTTCATATGAAGTCAGATATAATCCAGTTTTGACCACCCCTGTTGTGATGTTGATGGTTAATCACTCTGTTGGGCAGCCTTTTGGCAATCCAAGCCTCTGAGGTTTTGCAGAGTAAATAAATAAATAAAACCCCTTCCAGATAAATGTTTCCTTCTTCCTCCCCTGCAAATTGCCCTGACCTCAGGAACAGAGTGAACAATGCTGTTCACCCCTGGATCACTGACAGACAAAAGGTCCAGCCACTCAAGGACTAGAAATTGACTGCCTGGTCAGTCAGGAAATGGGAGATTCTCCCCTTTAATTTGATAATAGCGTTTACTTCCTGACTTAGAGGATTCTGACCTTAAAATCAAGATGCTCTTATGCATGGAAAATCTATTGCAGGTGATTTTTAAATTCTTCTCATGTTAACTAGTTATTTCCCTCTTGTAAAATGAGAGCCACTCAAGCAAATCCCTGGTACTAGCAGAACAGCTCAGGTATTTGAAGAAAGAGGGATGTGACAAACAATGCCAGCAACATTTTTAAAAGAGAATTTTCTAACAAAATCATTGTGCTGTAATAGGTCATCAAGTATTTAGAGTGAACATGTGAAATTCTGGCACAAAAGCTTTTCTGGCATCTATTTGAGACAACCTGCTCAGATACCTGTGGTTTCACGATGCATGCAGGAGCCATGTTATTCATGTTACTTTGACATTTACCCAGTGTCTTCACCTGAACATTGGGATTTGCTTGGTTAATTATCTAGGTATCTAAGCTGATTTCCACTGTTTCCCATTTCTACCAGTATTGCTGCCAGTAATGATGCTGGTGCTACAGCTGTTCCCTAATTCTGCTTCTTCCAGAAAAGCCCAGGTGAAGAACTGGGCCCAGTGTGTCCTCCCCTGAAAACAGGGTAAAATCCTAGCCCTGCTGAAATTAATGCCAGGGCTCCTATTGTTTTAAATGGTGGTGGTATTTCGTCAGATATATTTCTCTGCAGGTGCGTCAACACGGAATTTTAATCAGACTTCTAATGAGTTCCCCTTCTGCTCTTTTCTACCCTTCACCTCAGGATAATATATGACATGGAACAGACAAAGAACTTTTCAGGCTGTAATCATCATAATTAAAAAAATGTTTAGTAATTTCTTTCAAAGGCGTAAACAGAGTGATGAAGTTCAGTAGACACACAATGCTATTTGTTGGAACATGCATTACCTATTGTAAAAAAGTACATAGGGCTGGTCCAAATACATCCTTGCTGTCATTTTATGCAGGAAGTGAAATCAAGCCAGGGACAAAACCCATGTAATGATGCTGAACGGCACAAAACCCAGCACATTAATAAAGTAGCCGCTGGATTTTCTTTAACATTTCTATTTCTAAATGCTTACATAGAGAAACCTATTGGTAAATATTCAGAGAAGAAACCCCCCACAGTTCTCACAAACATTAATTACTTTTGTGGGTGCTTCTAATATCAGGAGCTAACGAATCTCAAGTTGCACACCCAAGAAGAAAGCACCCCTCTTAACATCTCTTTGGTTTTAAAACAGTGTAAATGTCATATTCATCTACCTCAGCAGCAAAGGGATGACTGTTATAATACCTCTATGCTTTGTATGGAAGAAAACAGCCAAGAGGGTTTAAGGTAATATCTCTTTTCAGGGTGAAGAGGAAATATGGTCTGGTTATAAAAAAAACAAAAACTCAAAATGAACTTCACACTCCAAGTCTTTTCTGTAGAGATTTTTTGTTAGCAAAATAATTTGATAAATCATTAGCAACAATTAAGATAATAAAGCATGATAAGAAATAATTTTCTAAGAAACACGCTTTTCAGCAAGCAGTTGCTTTATATATCCAAGGCTATTCAAAATACTCAAGCAGTTCTAATGATAGAACATATATATTTTACTTATGAGGGCTCCTCTTCCTTAAATATATCCTTAATAATGTAGCCTTTGATCTTCCCTCTCCTGCCTTCCCTCCCCTGCCTTCCCTCCAAAAAGATAAAACAGTCCTGAAACTAAATGGAACAGAGCAGCAGTCTTGAATCTCTCCACTTCATCTTCACTGACCCTTTCCCCTGTTTCAATTCTGTTTTTTCTACAGTCACAGTTTCTTTACAATCTCTATCCCCTTCCCTTTCTTCATTGCCATTAACATTCCCCATGTTTATTTTCTTAGTTCCCAGAAAAGTCTCCCCATTCACATTGCTACCTCCTTTCTCACCTACCAAAATACTCCCTTTTTCATCTTCTTTCTCTCTTTGCTTTAAAGAAACTGCCTCTGTACATACTTTGCAATTCCCCTTCTATAGTATGGACTACTTGCAATAAATTAGAAGAAAAATAATGAATCCCTTCTTGTATAAAATGCCAAGCAAAGCTCAACAGAAGTTAAACAGAAGCAGCACCAAGGGTTTCAAGCAGCAGCGGTAATACTCTTACACTCTATTTGATAATTTTTGTCTTGAGTTCTAAGACGAAAATTTACTGTTACCTGCTTTGACATTAACATATTAACATAATTATTGCTGTGCTTCCAAGCCATCATATCCAATTCTAATACACCCATAAGGAGAAAGAGAACTGAAACAAACCTCCAGATTTCAATTCAGTGATTACTAAAAATCTTTAGATAAAGAATTTGAAATTTCATTTTGTAGGAAGTGTAACTTTCAGTTTGTCCTGATTTTCAGGGAAAAGAAAAATAAATCTTGGAAGTAAGACAGATATAAACTACACTGCAAAATTTCAAGTTTTCAAGTTCTGAAATCAAAGCTTGTGTTTCAGACTTATACCTACAAGTGAACATTTCTGTTAATTTTTAAAAGATGAAGAATTTTCAGTATTTTTTTATATGATGGCTTTTAGGTAACCAGCTTGAACATACCTGAGTCCTCATTTTCATGGGCCAGAAGTCAGAAAACCAGATCTCTTTAAGGTATATCAAATCAGAAGTTACTTTAAAAAATTTTACTTTATTTAGGAAAGTCTCCTCTCTCTGCCTGTGATTCCTGAAGCTGAGGCTTTTGTTAGATTTCAGCTGAACCATTTATGAAGGCTTCATGACACAAAAGCACACGCTTTGTTTTTGTAAGAGTTTGTGACCTTGAGCAGAGTTTCAGGCTCACCCAAACCTCACACGAATGCCGGCAAAACTTGCTTTCTCTATGGTGAAACATTCTTGTGGAAGAGATTTCTGAAACATGAAGTAGTCAGTATGCTGTTTGTGGGTGGATTAAACACAGGGTAAGGGAATTAAATACAATTCCAGAAGCGACACAGAAATAGGACAACATCCAAGGTAATCGGTCCAGAGCCCTGTACCTAAGACAGAGAAAGGGGTGGGGAGAATTGTCTTGATTGAAACAGGTTTTTAACTAAACGATATCAAAACAGAACATTGCAGAGGGGCTCTGTTAAACAAATTTACTTGACTATTGATAAACTTCTTAAAATCAGTGTATTTGGGAGTTTGAGTCCACTTTTTTCTCTAATTGAGATGCTCTGCTGCTATAGAGAAACTGTGCTGGCTTATTTACTTCTAGTTCCCCAG